GTAGCAGCTGACTGTTTTACACTCACCATTTCAAGCAGGCTCTGGTTAGGACTTCTCTGGTCAGAAAAGTTCTAGGGGCCTTTGCCTTAATCTCGGTCTCCCTGTCTACTAGGTGATCTGTGAGCAAACCCTCCGTCTTTCTAGAAGTCCTCTGCTGCCCTCTAGTGGACATAGGATGCTCATGCCATCCTGCAGCCCGGATGGAGTGTGCCTGGTACAAGCTGTGCTAATTGCCTGTGATGACGTGGATCCCTCCAGTGTGTACACTGGGGAGCACTTTCCCAAATGCCCCTCATTGGTTCTTACTTAAGCCCGGTCAAGTGAGTTATTATTACCCGCACCTGGAGGTCTAGACGAGGAAAGCGAGGTCTGGGAGGGAAGGACTGCCACATGGTCACCCAGCAAGGGACAAGAAAGGGGACCCAGATCTCTGAGTGGCCTAGCTCTTTGGGACAAGGGTGGGGAAGGAGGAACAAAGCCTAGAGGTCACAGGGCAGTGAGGACCTCGCTCCTGTCGCCGCTCATGACGTCCTGGGTGCTGCTCACCTCCAGCTTTGCCATGACTGACCAGGCTTTGGCTCCAAGTCCAAGGGAGCTGGAAGGGGGCAGGCCTTGGGGCAAGGCCCACAGCTGGACCTCCTCCTTCGGAAAGACGGCCACCCTGCCACCCCCTTCCACCATTAACAGGAAAGCCGGAACCTCGACCACGCCCTTTGGTCTTAGTGTCCTTGATGTCCCTGCTGGTCCAAACAACAGGTGCCAGTGCCCCAGCTCCTCCCTTCTTTCTGGAAAGCCTTAGGGAGTGGCTTCCTTGGGCCTTCCACTCCTACTGCTTCCTCGCCGATTTCCTCTGCTTACCAATCTGAACGGCTGCTCACTTCTGAAAACCTGCCGGTGCTCCCGTACACTCGGATCAGGAGAAAGTCCCCTGGCTGCATCTCAGTCCCAGCTGCCCGGCCTTGACCACACCCACAGCCTCATCTTGCCCCTCCCCCCTGCCCTCAAGCTCCAGACCGATGGTTTTTTGGTTTGCTTGTGTTTTGTATTCCAAATGCATTTCTCTCTCCATCTTCCTCCTCTAAGCCTTTGCAGTCGCTGCTCCTTCTGTCTGGAATACCCTCTCCCAACACACCCCACGCACTTCTGTCTGGCTAGCTCCCACTCCTCGCGTTGTGGACTCCTCTCCCCTGGCCTCGGCTTCCCGTCAGTGCAGTGACCACCCTGCCTTATCATCTTCTCTGAGAGCCCCGTCAGGACTCCATCCTACCTGCACCACCACGCACCAGTGTGCATTTAGTGGATGAATGAGTGGACGAACGAATAAGTGATGGGGGAAGCCAGGGTGTTGAAAGTCAGGCTGGCCTGGACCCCCGCTGGGCCACAAGCAGGATGACCTTGAACAAGTCCCATTCCCTCCCAGAACCCTGTGTGTTTTTTTTGTTTTTTTTTTCCTCACCTGAGGACATTTTTCCATTTTGTTGTTCAGGTAGAGCGGGAGGGAGAGAGAGGAATAGAGAGAGAGAGAGAGAAACATCGATGTGAAGGGACACATCGAGTGGCTGCCACCCACACAACCGACCAGGGCCGGGGACAAACTGCAACCGAGGTACGTGCCCTTAGCGGGAACCAAACCCGGGTCTCTCCAGACCGCAGGGCGACGCTCTAACCGCTGAGCCAAACCGGCCAGGGCCAGAACCCTGTTTTTATCTGAAAATGAGGCTTCTCTTCCCCACTGCTCAGGACACCTCTGAGGCCCTGAGGCCTCCTACTTGGGGGGCAGGCTTTTCCCCTCCCCCTGACATGGCTCCAGAACCTGGCCAGTTCCTGTGGAATCTCGAACCTCTGGGTCCCCTAGAAGGGCAGGGGCGCCAGAGCCTCCACCCCCCACTCCAGTGGCCAGAGCGGGAAGAGGGGTCAGCGCCTCCTGACCACTCACTGCCAGCCGTGCATCTTTGTGTCCCGGGTTAATTTTTTAAAAGCAGTTCAAAGTCCAGTGGGCCTTGGCAGAGATTGCTGCCTCTGTTTGTGCTGGTTAATAATCTCGAGAAAGCAAACATCCCTGGAGGCAGGAGAAACCAACATCCCGGCAGGGCCTCTGGCCCCCTCCCCCCGCCAGGAGAGGCTATGTGCCTGAATGCGCCGCCCTGTCCAAAGGGGCCCAGATTCTTTTTCACCGCATATGCCTCGGGCTTCCCATGAGCCAGTGGGGCTGACAATCTTAATAATACAGACCTGCTGTGAAGATCAGAGCAGCCCTGGTGGTACCCTGTAGGCAACCTTAATAGTGCACCTGATTCAATGATTAACGACTCATTGTTATTTTTTCACTCTTATACTAGGCCTGGTTTCTCCAGAGACAGGAACACCCTGAGTCTATCACACAGGTAAGACAGTGGGTTTGCATCACTTAGTCTCTTGGCAGAAAGAATGGGCACTGTTTTCTTCCAGATGAAAAAAGTGAGCTTCGGAGAGAGTCATCCCAAAGTCACAGAAGGCGGGCTCCGGCTCCCACTTCTCCGCATTCGTCTGAATTCAGACCGCCTCCTTACTATCACCATTAACCAGGCCACGGAAGACTTTGTGAACAGAGGGAAGATGACTGTCCCCAAAATAGAAGCCAATACGATTGCTGTGATTAAACATGGCTTTGAGCTTCCCGGCAGCCAAAGCAAAAAGGAGATGCCATCAGCCCTGGCCAGTTTGGCTCAGCGGTAGAACGTCGGCCCACGGACCAATGAGTTGTGGGTTCTATTCTGGTCAAGGGCATGTACCTTGGCTGCGGTTTGTCCCCGGCCCTGGTCTGGATCGTGCGGGAGGCAACCAGTTGATGTGTCCCTCTCACATCGAAGTTTCTCTGTCTCTCCCTTTCTCTCCTCCTCTCTCCCTCTCCCTCTATCTGAAGATAAATAGAAAAATACCCTCAGGTGAGGAATTTTTAAAACAGGAGATGCCATCGGCCCAGCTGGTGTGACTCAGTTGGCTGGGCGTCATCCCAAGCACTAAGATTGCCAGTTCGATTCCAGTCAGGACACATGCCTGGGGTTTGGGCTCAATCCCCAGTGAGGTGCATGCAGGAGGCAGCTCATCTCTCCACATAGATCTCTCTCTCTCTTTCTCTCTCTCTCTCCCTCTCTCTCCCCCCTCCCTTCCTCTCCCTTCCTCTCTAACAACAACAACAACAACAAAATCAATAAAAATACTTTTTTTAAAAAGTGGGGGATGCCATCAGTAGCCAAGCTGTCAGCATTGGAGCAAAGAAAATACTCACTTGAGACGAACAGACACACTCATTCCTGTCAGCGGTGGAAGCCACCTTTCGGTGGCTCTGACACACCGTCCGTTGGTGCCACTATGTGGGGGAGCCCCATTCTCACGTGGGCAGGGGTCTTGCGTCTGGACCACCTGTCTGAAGGGCTCATTCCCAGCTGCAGCGGGAGGCTGCTGTGTGTGGACGGCCCGTGGGGAGCACAGGAACATTCAGGACACAGCTCCGGCCCCCGGAGAAGAGGTCTTCAGAGAGAGGCCCTGCAGTGTCCCTGGCAAGAGTCACCGGAGACGAGCACACCTAGGTTTTAACATTATTTTCATTCAATTTCTTTAATTTAATGGATACCATATTGTGCCCTAAGGCCGCTGTTAACAAAGTGCCGCAAATTGGGTGACTTAAAGCGACAGAAATTCATTCTCTTACTGTCCTGGAGGTTAGAGGCCCGACTCCAAGTTGTCCGCAGGGCCACGTCTCTCCTGGGTCTAGGAAAGAACCTTCCTTGACTCTTCCCAGCTCTGGTGGCTGCCTGCCGTCCTCGGCCTTGACTTGTGGCTGCTCCCTCGGGTCTCGGCCCCGGGCTTCACCCGGCGCCTTCCCTGCGTGTCCGTGTCTCTGACTGAATCTCCCTCCCCTTTCTCTTAGAAAGACATCAGTCACTGGATTTAGGGCCCACCCTCACCTGGGATGACCTTCTCTTGACTAATTACATCTGAGGTTCCACGTGCACATGAATTCGGGGGACACTGTTTACCCTGCCACAAACATATTCAGCTCTTATGTGCCGGACACTGGTCTCGTGCTTTACAGGTATTGCCTCCTTCAGCCCGCACAGCAATGCTGTGACCCAGGCGCTGCGATCCCCGCTTACAGATGAGGAGACCGAGGCACAGAGAGGTAAAGTCACTCACCCGAGGCCACGCAGCCGGTGAGTAGGACAGAAGGCCATCTGGCTCCTGAGTCCATGCCCTCAACCACACCAGATGCTGCCTCCCCGGGCAATGCCACTCACCCGATGTGAGACCCCGGGCAGGTCATTTACCTCTGGGAGACTCTACTCCCCCGTCTCTAAGGGGGAAACGGCACCTCGTTCATGGGGCGGTTGTGGGATGGGCTCCGGGTCCCTGGTGGGTGCTAAGTGCTGGAACACAGCGGCGCAGTGCTGGTGCTCAGTGGATGGAAGCCGCTGTTATAATCATGAGCATCACTATTTCTGCTGTGATTTACTGGCTACGGGAAACCAGTGGTGACAGAAGGAACACTGGGGAGAGGACGTCACAGACTTCCCTGTGGTCTCTGATAAGTCACTTTCTCTCCCTGGGCCTGTTTTCTCATGGGAGAGATGGGCCTATTCAGACTCATCCTCCCGACTCTCGGGAGTGTGAAGTAGGTGGAGTGACCCAGCAGAAAAGGTCAGGGCTACCTGTGCCCTTCATTCGCACATGACCCTGGGACATGGGGGGTTTCTGGAGAAGCCTTTCTGGGGATGAACCCAGCCTGGGCTGCAATCGGGCCCTGTTGTGTTTGGCCAATGCCTCCGCTGAAACAGACCTCCTGGCCCCTTTGAACCACTGACCCCAGCCAGGGCACCACAAGGGATCAATCGGACCTGGCCTTGAGGCCCTGATTGGTCCTGGCCGGGCGGGGCAAACACCAAAGTCCTTCCCCAGCCTCAGGAGCTCCTCTGTCCCTGGACTGAGCCGCGAGTGACCCCTGAGGTACAGGAGCCAGAGCCATGCCGCGCCTCGGGGCCCTGCTTCTGCTGCTGACCGCCTGCCTGGCGGTGAGTGCCAACCCTGTGCCGGCACTGCCAGCCGACGTCCAAGTGCAAGAGAACTTCGACATGTCCAGGGTAAGGCTGGCCTCCCCGGGTGACGGTGACGGTGTCTGAGCAGCTGGGCCTGGCGGCAGGGGGGGGAGGGGCGGTCTTGCCTGCCTGGGGTCTCATTCCCCCCATCTGGAACTCCAGGGGTGGGCCCCTAAAGGCTCTCCCGCCCAGACGGTCTGGGGTTGATTGAAGTGACAATGCTGTGTGCCTGCCATTCTGTGGGGTTCTCTGACCCCGAGTCAAACGCCCCCACATTCAAAGCTGTCCTCTGAGGTTCCAAGGGAAACCCACCCCCGAGAGGGCTCCGTGCTGACTACTGCCCCGCGGCCGCCAGCACGCCCAGCCTTTCAGGACTCTGCCTGCCGACCCCCCGCACCCAGCCCTCACCCTTTAGCCACCCCCTCATCCCACAGGCCGGAGGGCACGGCGGGCATGTGCGCGCACAGGGAGGAGAGAGGCCGGACAGAGATGGGCTGGTGGGAATAAGAGGTCTTCCTTCCCGCCCAGCTCTGCCCGAATCTCCGGGTGACCTGGAACAGGACCTTGTCTACCCAGGTCTCCACATCGGAATGAGGGGCTCTCAGACCCTCCTAGCTGTGGCGTCCTGAGGATTTTATTTCCTTGCAGGAACAGGAAGGGTCATGGGTGGAGGGGTGGTGAGGAGCAGGGCCCCGAGCTGGCCCTCTGCAGGGACTGGAGGGTTCTCCCAGCTCTGCTGAGCAGTCTCGGGAAGGAGGGGTCAGGCTCGTCCTGCATCCGCTCAAGGCAAGGAGACACTTACAGGCAGCCAGGGGCTGTTGCGAGGGGCTGAGCACCCCGTGTCCTGACTCCTGCTCTTGGAGGGCAGTGGTTGATGTGACCTGAGGGCACGAGGATTGGACCCCATCCAAGCGAGCAGCACAGACCTCAGCTCTCAACAGAGTAAGGCCGGGCAGGGGGCCCACCTGAGCAGCTCCTTTCTAAGCCAGGACGCCTGAAGTTCCGCGATTAGGGCTCCATCCTCCTCTGAGGCTGTGGCATCCAAATCAGCTATAAGACGTTATCACTTCAAAGGATGAGTCATTCAGAGGAGGGAGGGGAGCAGACATCTGCCAAGACTCCTTCAAGGTCAGAGGCAAATCCAGACCCTCAGCTCTGTGGTTGCCTCTAGTTCTACGGGAAATGGTTCCACGTGGCCATCGGCTCCACCTGCCCCTGGCTGGTGAGGTTCAAGGACAGGCTGACCATGAGCACACTGATGCTGAGAGAGGGGGCGACGGAGAGGCAGATCAGCACGACCAGCACGCGTTGGCGGTGAGCTTGGGGTGAGGTGGGAGGGGTGAGGGACCAGGGCCCACCAGCCCCCGCCCTGGCTTCAGTCACCACCAGGTCCGGAAACTGGCCGACCTCTGAGCTGGAGATCTCTGTGCTCCACCGCCAGGGCGCCCTTTCTAATCGTCCGTCTGCGCCTCAAGGGCAGCGCCTCCAACGCCACCCCAGTTTTGCAACGTGCTCTTACTCCTGGGCGTCCCTTAGCTCAGTGAGGGCCCTTCAACCCGCCAGGGACCTGGAACCTGGGCCGGAGAGGGTGGCCTAAATCCTCGTCTCTGCTGCCATGGACCATCCCATCTGTCAGCAGGCCCCATCCATTCTCTTCCGAAATCCCTTCATTCTGTTCGCCTCCCCCTCTTCCCCCCAGTAACCTTGGTCCACCCACCGCCCTTTCTTTCCTGGTTGTCTGCAGCAGCCTCTCAGCTCTCCATGACCCACGTGTCCATGACCCGCCCAAGTGGACCGACTTTCAGGTCCTGGAACCCTTCAGCCTCCGTACCTCTCAGCCTTTCCCCATATGTTCCCTCCACTGAGGAAACCTCTCCCACCTCCTGGGCTAACTCCTATGGATCCCTCAGGACCCAGGTTCTGTGTCACTTCCTCCAGGAAGCCCTCCCTGACCCCTACAGTTCAGATCACACGCCTTCTCCCCCCGCCCCCACACACACACGTGGCACACTGACTGCATCTGCCTCTGGCCTGCCCACCTGTCCCACTCACTTGTTAGTTCCATGTGGGGACAGGTCTTGTCTTCCTCTGCATCCCCAGCATGTAGCACATAGATGCTGCTCAATAAGTGACAAACATCATAACAATAACAGTTCAGATGTGCACAGTGCTTACTCTGAGCTCTTTACATACGTCTCATTCGATCCTCCCAGCCACGCTGTGAGGTAGGAGCTATCATTACCCTATTTCACAGGTAAGGGAACTGGGGCAAGAGACACAGAGTAATAGAGGATGCATTGATTCATCACCCTGACTTCCCAGTGCACCAGTATAATGTGCAGATTTGGCTAAAGAAGTTGATTTTTAGTACTGGCTTTGCCAAGAGATGGCACGGATTAGCCCTTTTTCCTCTGTTCCTCTGTCCCCTCATATGTGAAATGGCTATCTCCCAGGGCTGGTGTAGGGTTCAACAAGGTATTTGAAATGTTATAAAAAGATATCTGGGAAGGACCCCGAAGAAGAAGGGGAGGAGGTAGCAGGACCATGGTCTCTACCAGAATTTACCTCTTTCGACTTGTTCATTTGCAGGAACGGCGTCTGTGAGGAAATCTCTGGTGTCTATGAGAAAACAGACACTGATGGAAAGTTCCTCTACAACAAGTCCAGTAAGTCGAGTCAAAGGAGAATCCACAGTTCTCGCCTTTGCTAAAAACAAACAAACAAAAACCTTGATGTCTTAAGCTCTCTTTCCTTCTCAGTTCTCTCTCCCTCTAACCTTTCCTCCCATTTTTCTGAGCTGTCATCTAGCCTTCCTCCAAATTCCTCCTCTCCTCCTCCTCCTTATCCCCCCCAGAATTAGAGTGATGGCGTGAATGTGAGGATGACATCAAGATTTCATCAGTCTTCATGTTAGGCATCTGCAATCAGCTGATCAAAATTTGCAAAGCATCTGCCATGGACAGAGCTCATGGTGCTAAGTGACAGAGGGACTTGGACATGCATGTATTCATTTATCCAGCAGATGTTTATTGAATATGTTCTGTGTGTCAACTAATTGTGTTAGGGGTTGAATATATGAATGTTTGGGTAGATGGATGGTTGGATAAATAAACGAGAGAATAAAAAAACGTTTGGTAAACATGCATATGTATGGATGGCAGATAAGTGAATTAATCAATCATCTAGATACATCAATGATTAAAGGGATGGAGGAAGGAAGAAAGGAGGGAAAGAAAGAAGGAAGGAAGGAGGGAGGAAGAAAGGAAAATGGATAAACTTATGGAGAAGCTGGATGGATGGAGTGATGGTAGATGAACTGATGACTACATAGAGGAGATAGATGGATGAAGAGATAAATGAGTAGATCAAGGGATGGGTAGACAAGATGACTGAATAGATGACGTGTGGGTAAATGATCTCAGGCTAGAAGGGCCTTCTGACCACCGAGCCCTCTGTCTTCCTGCATCCCCCACGCAGAATGGAACATCATCGTAGAGTCCTATGTGGTCCATACCAACTATGATGAGTATGCCATTATTCTGAGCAAGAAATCCAGCCACCACCATGGACCCACCATTACTGCCAAGCTCTATGGTAAAGGCCCGGAACCAGATACGCTCAGACCCGTGATCTAGGGACAGTGGGGTAGGGAGGAATGGGGAGTCTTGCTCTTTCCTTCTTTCCTGAGCTCCAGCTACAGGAAATGTGGGAACATTTATTCTGCCTGGAGGAGGTAGAGCGCGGTCTCCCATTAAGGCAGAGCCCTCCCCTTGGTCCCTAACTTTCCAGACCCGGAGAATTCCAGCGCCTTCGGGCCCTTGAAGGAACCCATGGAAGAACCCCGTGGGGGGTCGGGAGACCTGGATGGGGGTCGGGAGGGGCTTTTCTTCCTTTCTGGAGTTGATCTTTCTATGGTGTGTTAAAGAAATCGAATTGGAACAAATCCCTGGGCAGAATCATCTCAGGCCCTGCCCGCCCAGGCCCTGAGGCTCTAGGACTCGGCTCTGCTTCTGCCTTTCAGGGCGGGAGCCCCAGCTTCGGGAAAGCCTGCTGGAGGACTTCAGGGAGCTCGCCCGGGGCATGGGCATCCCCGAGGACTCCATCTTCACCATGGCCAACAGAGGTGAGCGGCACCCCCCGCACACACGCTTCTGCCTCCTCCTCCTCCTGAATGGCCCCCGAGAACATCTTCCTAGCCCCCGGGTCTCTCTTGTAAGCCTCGGAGAGAAGCAGAACAACCCCCCTTCCTTCTCTACAGAGAAGGCAGCTGGGGCCCCTGGATCTGCTCCGAGTCACACAGTGTGTGCCTGGCAGTGCTGGACTGGAACAGAGTAGACATAGTGTCTACTCTGCTGCTATGTGTCTAAGTGGGGTCATATTCAGAATCCACAGGTACCTCTTAGGAGGTAATAGAGTGTTAGGGTTCGGAGCATGGCCCAGAGGTAGAGCACCTAGGTTCACGTTGAGCTGGGTGGCTGGCTTGTGGCTGGGCAATCTTCCAGAGCCTCATTTTCCTCATCTGTAAAATGGGGATAATAATGTCTCGCTTATAAGTTGCTGTGAGGAGTCAATGAGACAAAGCCATTAAATACAATAGCACTGTGCCTGGTGTCTAGTAAGTGCTGAACAAATGTTAGCCATTTCTGTTCTGTGACGGTGCTGATGACATGCTGGTGGTGAGGTGGAGAGGACGCCGATGGTGATGACGGTGCAGCCACCAGCCTGCGACTTTTCTAAGAATGACCTTCAGAAAGCCACGTGGGTGGAGCCATTCATGAAGTGGGCTAACGCACAGATTCCAGTGCGATGCCCACCTGGCGTGTCGTCAGCACTATGAAGGACGCAAAGCCCTCTCTGGTCTAGGATGCCCCCCAAGTGGTCCTCTTATTCACCTCTGTCTCCTGTCCTCTGACCTAGGAGAGTGTGTCCCTGGGGAGCAGGAGCCAGAGCCCACTGCACCCCCAGTGAGTACCTGTTTCCCCTATTCCATCCCCTCCCTGCCTGCTTGATTTTTGCTGCCCCTGCTGAGGTCCTGCTGTGGTGGGGTCACTGAGAGGGCTTGCGGGAGGGCAGTGAGGGGCCTGGGTTTTGAAGTCAGTCCCACGTGGGCTCAGTCCCGGTTCTGCCGCTACAGCCAGTGCTGCCCAATTGGGACCTCGCTTTTCTCACATATGAAATGGGGTAATTAGTCACCCTCCCAGAGCAAGAATTCAATGACATGTTACAAAAGTTCCCAGCATGGTGCCTAAGAACAGTCAAGTATTTAATGATGAATTAACAATACTCACTAAATGAAAATAAAATTAATCGATCTTTCTAAAATCAGCAAACCTAAGAGCAGCAGCTTCTCAAACTATAGGGCAGAAGGCCTAGGCTGCCTTTTGATTTTTGGGGTGTCCTTACTCTTCTATCTTATTTTCCTGCTTTTTGCCATAGTGATTAAGCTATATTCATTCTTTTTTTCTGATTATTTGAAAATTATATATCCTAATTTATTCTGCTGAAGTGTGTATAAGTCTATATATAATGTTTATCTAGAAATGTATTCCTGAAAATTGAAAAAAAAAGACAATGGCCTTATTCCTGCAAAGAATTAACAGTTAACATATTATTTGTTTGCTTCTACATTTTTAAAGAAAAATTAGCATTGATTTTATAAAACTAACATATGCTCATTATAAAGAATTAAAATAATGCAGCCTGGCCACTGTGGCTCAGTGGTTGAGCGTCGAGCCATGCACCAAGAGGTTGCCAGTTCGATTCCCGGTCAGGGTACATGCCCAGGTTGTGGGCCCGATCCCCAGTGGGGGGCATGCAGTAGGCTGCCAATCCATGTTCTCTCTCATTAATGTTTCTCTCTCTTCCTCTCCCTTCCTCTCTCCCTAAAATCAATAAAGAAAAAAGAATACTTAAAAAAAAAAAGAAGCTCTGGCCAGTTTGGCTCAGCGGTTAGAGAGTTGGCCTGGGGTCCAGAGAGACCTGGGTTCAGTTCCCGCTAAGGGCACGTACCTCGGTTGCAGTTTGTCCCTGGCCCTGGTTGGTCGTGCGGGTGGCAGCCACTCGATGTGTCCCTTTCACATCGATGTCTCTCTCTCTCTCTCTCCCTCTCTCCCCCTCCCACTCTATCTGAACAAATAATGGAAAAATGTCCTCGGGTGAGGATAAAAAAAAAAGAATTAAAACAGTGCAGAAAAGTACTAACAAATAGAAGTTTTTTAAAAATTCCACCACTCAAAAATGACCAGCACTCACATCATTCCAGAAACCTTGACAGGCAGGCCTGTGGGGAGGACAGATTGGGGCTAGACAGAGGCACAGGTTTAGATATAATGTTATTAAACGGGATTATACTGCAGATGCTACTTTTAATTTGTAAAAACATTCATTGTGGCCCTGGCCGGTTTGCTCAGCGGTTAGAGCATCGGCCTGTGGTTCGGAGAGACCCGGGTTTGGTTCCCGCTAAGGGCACGTACCTCGGTTGCAGTTTGTCCCCGGCCCTGGTTGGTTGTGCGGGTGGCAGCCACTCGATGTGTCCCTTTCACGTCAATGTTTCTCTCTCTCTCTCCCTGTTCCTCTCTCTCCCTCCCACTCTACCTGAACAAAAAATGGAAAAATGTCCTCGGGTGAGGATAAAAAACAAAAAACAACAACAACAAAACATTCATTGTATTTTTATTTGAATTTTTTAAAAATGAAGTGGACTTTTTAAACTACAAGTAGATATTTCTTCACCACAAGAGACTTATTTCTTAAAGAAGGCTCTGAGTCAAGTCAAGGTTATGAGAAAACATTTAAGAGGTGGGCATCACTGGATACACTTTTATTATTTAATTTTTTTAATCCACACCCGAGGACGTTTTTTTGTTGTTGTTGTTTTTTTGTTTTTTATCCTCACCCGAGGACGTTTTTCCATTTTTTGTTCAGGTAGAGTGGGAGGGAGAGAGAGGAACAGAGAGAGAGAGAGAGAAACATCGATGTGAAAGGGACACATTGAGTGGCTGCCACCCTCACAACCGACCAGGACCGGGGACAAACTGCAACCGAGGTACGCGCCCTTAGCGGGAACCGAACCCGGGTCTCTCAGGACCGCAGGCCAACGCTCTAACCGCTGAGCCAAACCCGCCAGGGCCACAGCCGAGGACATTTTTGCATTTATCTTCAGATAGAGCGGGAGGGAGAGAGGGAGGAAGAGAGAGAGAAACGTCAATGTGAGAGAGACACATTGAGTGGTCGCCACCCACACGACCCCAACCGGGGCCAGGGACAAACTGCAACCGAGGTTTGTGCCCTTAGTGGGAACGAAACCCAAGACTCTCTGGTCCTCGGACTGATGCTCTAACCACTGAGCCAAACCGGCCAGGGCTGGATACACTTTTAGAGGATATCTGTTTTCTTTATCGTTTGACAGTCAAATTCTAGCACTCTCAAACTCTGTTTTGTCTCCTGGCCCCTTTTTCTTTACATTGTCCAGATTACCACTGTTGCCATAATTCCCAGTCATCTAGGGCTGGTAATTGTTTTAAAATATTTTTTCTTTATTGATTTTAGAGAGAGGGGAAGGGAGAGGAAGAGAGAGATAGAAACATCGATGAGAGAGAACATCAATGGGCTGCTTCCTGCATGCCCCCCGCTGGGGATTTGGCCCACAACCTGGGCATGTGCCCTGACCAGGAATCGAACTGGTGACCTTTCAGTGCACGGGACAACACAACCAACTGAGCCACACTTGCCAGGGCGCTTTCTTTTTCCTTTAAAAAAAAAGGTTTTTTTGCCCTGGCTGGTTTGGCTCAGCAGTTAGAGCATCGGTCTGAGGACCAATGAGTCCCGGGTTCGATTCCAGTCAAGGGCACGTACCTTGGTTGCGGTTCATCCCTGGCCCTGGTAGGGGTCGTGGGGGAGGCAACCAATCGATGTGTCCCTCTCTCTCTCTGTCTCTCTCTCTCTCCTTCCCTCCCTCCCACTCTATCTGATGATAAATGGAAAAATATCTTTGGGTGAGGATTAAAAAATGTTTTAATTGATTTTAGAGAGAGAGGGAAACATCAATTCATTGTTCCACCCATCCATGCATTCATGGATTGCTTCCTGCATGCACCCTGACCAGGGACTGAACCCACAACCTTGATGTATGGGGACAGCGCTCCAACCAACTGAGCCACTTGCCCAGGGCCTTCCATTGCTTCCTTCCAGGCCATCTACATCCCTGTTATTGTGGATATTGTGTAAGAGTGACGTTTATATTTTCTACCTTTTGTTTTGAGAATGGCTTTTAATATTTACATAAGTTGTATGACCATTTTAACAATAATTTAACCTAAACTTTACATTTTATTGACTTCAGTTTACCACCATTGCTTTGCTATCACACCAGCCATTTTCCCTTCTCAATTGGTGGGAATGTTTCCATTAAGTAGTTTTTTCCAGAAAGATACATGAGTGGAAAACTACTGGATCCTTGCATGTCTGAGAAAGTCTTTCTGTGTTTATGTCACATGGTCAACAGCTTGGATGAGTGAAGAATCAATCCCTGGGTTGCAACCTTTTCCCTTTTACAACCTCAGATATTGCTCTGCAGCTTCTGTCATTAAATGTCATCATCTACTCCAAGGGCCACTGGGATATCCTTGTCTCTAGGAAATGTGTAGATGGGGCTTTTCATTAATTCTGCCCTTTGAGCTCTTGTAATTGGATAGCTCAAGTCTTTCCTCAACTGAGAAAAATTTTCTTCTATTATTTCTATATTGATTGCTTCTCCTAGAATTCCTATTATGTGAATTTCTTTCTTATAATCTCTATACTGTCAATTTATTGTCTCTGCTGGGTGGTTAAATTCAACAAAGTCTTTTCCATTTCCAGTAACTTTCTACTTCTCTCATGTTACTCATTTCCATAACCCTTGGTTCCTGTTATATTGATGCAATGTCATCTTGAATTCCGTTGATGGTTTAAGCTTTCTGTTTCTTACTGTCATCCTGTGTTTAGTGGAGACATTTCTCCAGCTCAGCCTGATTCTTCTGAGCAGCTGCATTTGTTTAGTTTGTCCCGTGACTTCTCTCTTTTCCTTCACTCTCACCAAGGAAGGCCCATACGCAACCAGCTTGAGATGGGTTTTGGCAGACAGTGGAGTCCCTGATCATGGCTTCCACTTACATCTTAAAAGGAGAAGGGAACATTCGCAGTTACTATAGTTTTACTTCTGCAGATTCCAGGTCTCACCTGCGGGCAGGAAGACTGGTGGCCTGCATTTTCCTGTTTATCCCTTTTTACATTGCTGCGGAATCCTGCTTCAGGGGACTCCATACTCGGAGACCCTTTGACAGCTCTGGCAGCCTGCCCTGCCCTGCAGTTCCCCACCGCCCAACCTCCACCACAGCTAGGAGAGCGAGGGCCAATCTCAGGTCCCTTCTTACTCTACATGGCTTTTCCTTGGCAAGCAGCTTCCATCGTAAGCAGCCTTTGCTGCAAACCAGGCACACCCACACTCCGTTGTGTACAAATGCCTTCATGTGCCTCGCATGGGAGTGTTCCCCTTCCCTGGTTTCCAACCCTGGGGTAGGCTCCTTTTCCATTATTACGTCCTTTCGGCCCTTGAACTGGAGGTTGGATGCGAGGCATTGCTATAGCTCGAGGTTCTGAGTTTTCATTTCAGTCCAGAAATCTGTCCTGTGATGCCCATTCTGGAATTCAGGTTGATGCTTTTGGGAAAACAGGCCACTAACCAGTCTAGTAGCTGCGCTTCTGTCTATACCCCGATTCCCGAAACAAATGATGTGTGTGTTCTGGTGATACAGGTGAGCAGTAGTGGGAAGGTCCCTGCAACAGCTTCTCTTTCTCCCCCCCAGAGAGCCCGGCGGGCTGTGCTGCCCCAGGAACAGGAAGGATCAGGGGCTGGGCAACTACTAAGTGAACTCAGCAGGAAAGAAGGTAATTATCACTCACCTCTTCACCCCCTTCTGCCATACTTGAGGGGAAGGACCCATGGCTGGCTCACCCTGGCTGCCTCATGATAATGAGACCTCTCATTTTTCTGCTCAAGTCAAGGACTAGGCCCAGAAAAGGCAAATCAAGTACTCAGCCCTGTGCCAGGGGTTGTGAGGGAGAGAGGAGATAAGGCATGGTCTGAGCTCCATAAGAAGCCAGTTCTTGCCCTGTCTCACTGTGGGGCCTCCTAGCCTTGGTTTCCTCATCTGTACAATGGGATAACAACCCGCTGAGCTACCATCGGGGTTCTTGTGGGAGCAAGATGGGGAAGAATGTGAGGATGCTTTGTGTAGTTGACAGTGTTTACGAACAACTCGCTCTCCAACGCACTCTGCAAACACTGAACCTGGCTCCACCCCAGACCTGGAGCTGGGCACTGGTGTCACAGAGACAGACCACCCATGTCGTTTTGGAACTTCGGGTCAAGTGGAGGCAGTCAGGGAGAAAGTGATAGACCCAAAAGGGAGGGTCAGCTAACAGGCTGGAGTAGCACAGAGGGTGTAGGGGTGAGGAGATCAAGGACTTCATGGATGAAGGGAATTCATGCTGCGTCCAGGTATCCAGGTAGGGTTTTATGGAGCAATGCATTCCAAAGACATGGGGGTGGGGCCTCGGTGAAGAGGTCAAGCTGGCTGGCATGGATGCTGGTGAAGGTATCATCAACTACTATTATTACAGAGTCTTTGGGCAGATACGACCAACACAGGGGATGGTGGTCTGTGGGTCGTGTATCTCCCCATGTTCTGGAGTGGAATGAGCATTGATTTTGAAGTCCAATGGACATCATTTTGAACCTCAGCACTGTGTGACCCTGGGCAAGTCACTTTACCTCTCGATTTCCTCATCTATAAAATTAGTTGGTCATCCTTCCTCGTAGTACAGAAATGAAAACTAAATGAGATGACGCATGGTCAGTGTCCGGCCTGGTGACAGCTACACGACAAGCACCCAGTAAGTGCTGCTGCTCTGCCCTTGCAGATTCTTGCCAACTGGGCCACGCAGTAGGCCCCTGCCTGGGGATGTTCAGGCGGTATTTCTACAACGGCTCATCCATGGCCTGCGAAACTTTCGAATACGGCGGCTGCCTGGGCAACGGCAACAACTTCGTCTCCGAGAAGGAGTGTCTGCAGACCTGCAGGACTGTGGGTGAGCGCGGGCCCCGCTCCGCGCGCCGCCCCGCCCAGCGCTGTCCTCCCAACGGGCCACCGGCCAAAGGCACAGGCAGCCGCGATGTCCCGGTGGTGGAACTCCAGGGCACGTTTCCTGACGTCACAGGAATTGGATGTGGGCGACCCTAGGAAAGTCCTTTCTTTTTAAAATCCTCACCTGAGGATATTTTTCCATTTTTGTTCAGATAAAGTGGGAAGGAGAGAGAGGAAGAGAGGGAGAGGGAGAGAAACATCCACGTGAGAGGGACACATCGACTGGTTGCCTCCCACATGGCCCCAACCAGGGCCGGGGACAAATCACAACTGAGGTACGTGCCCTTGACCGGAATCGAACCCGAGACTCATTGGTCCTAGGGCCGATGCTCCAACCGCTGAGCCAAGCCGGCCAGGGCAGCAAGTTATTTCTTTACACGGGCTCTCGCTTCCCAGTCTAGTGGGGACTAGGTGGTGCAGGGTCCCTGGTTGGGGTCCTTGGCCTCAGCCAGCCAGCCGTAAGGATTACTAATGCCGTGTGCCCCCGCCCTGTCCACAGCGGCCTGCAATCTGCCCATAGTCCCTGGCCCCTGCCGGGGCTACAGCCAGCTCTGGGCATTTGACGCTGTGCAGGGAAAGTGCGTCCTCTTCAATTACGGGGGCTGCCAAGGCAACGGCAACAAGTTCTACTCGGAGAAGGAGTGCAAGGAGTACTGCGGTGTCCCTGGCGACGGTAGGTGGCCCTGGGGGTGCTGGGCTGGGCCCGGGGTGCTGGGGTCCAGGCGGGAGAGCCCTGGTATGTGGGGGCCTGGAAAGCTAAGTTCTGGACTCTGCACCAGGTGACCAGCCATTTACTCTCCGAGCCTCAGCTTCCCATCTTTAAAATGGGGCCAAGCCCTTGTTCCAGCCACGCTGGGGTACCTGGGGGACCAGGTACAGGGGAGCGTGTGCAGGGCAGTCTGAGGAGCCCCGCAGAACTGGGCGGATTCTGGCGCTGCCACGTTCGGGCCGGCCACTCTGGGCAAGTGCCAATCTTAGCCTCAGTTTTCTCTTTTGTAAAATGGGACAAAGTACCTGCTCCCAGACTTCACAGTGCTTGGCACGCTTGGTGCTCGGCTAATAGCAGCTCTTACTGATGGCGACGGTGATGCTCTAATGAGAACAGGGCAGGCACACCTGGCTTTATTGAGCCCCACAGATACTGTATTTGTTACAAACTGAAGGCAAGACCCTCCCCCAGCAAGATTACGACTCACTTTAGGTTGCTAGCGCTTTATTACGGTGGTCTAGAAGCGAACTGCCGTCTCTCCGCCCTGTGCCTGCACCAGCATTGCGGGCGGCGGCAGCCACGTAAGCTCGCTGTGCCTTCTGTCCCCACGAGGAAAGAGCAGCTCAAGTAAATCAGAAGAGGCAAGAAAATCGGGTCCTCTGTGGAAGGCACTTTGGAGATCCAAACCATTCAGCGAGCAGGGGTTCCTGGCCCCAGCTGCCTTTCCTCCCCCATGCGGCACCCCCTCCCCGACCGTCCCCTCGGGGCCCTCCGGCGAGCCCCACAGCTACTCTCTGAGCCTCTGTGTCCACAGGAGACGAGGAGCTGCTGCGCTTCTCCAACTGACGGCCCAAGGCCAGAGGTCCCAGGCCGGAGGATGGCAGAGGCTGCGGCCCATGTCCGCCCCGGGCCCCGCATCAGGCAGGCTGGGCCGAGGGACTGGGGTTCCAATAAAAACCAGATCCTAAACTCCTGAAACTCCAGCCCTGACTGTTGATTGTCCTCATACACGTAGTGAGAGGGGCGGGACGGGAGACCCAGCCTTCCCCTGAGTGAGTGTCTGTCGGAAAGGTAACAACTATCTTCTGGACAGGAAATGGGCTATGCAGACTATGCAACATAAATCACAATTCTGTGTGCTCGACAACAGCATCAAATCGGATGTTTTCACAAAGGCAGAAGAGGGGGGAAGCTCTGCCGGGTCACCAACGACCCAGGGTCAGAGTGATTGTGCCCCGTGTGCCCAGGAGGGTCAGTGTCTGAGATCATCCTGTCCTTTGCCACCTGGAGCCCCCTCCACTGTTGTACTTCGGCCACAGCCACGTCCCCAGCACCAGCGGCCAGGAACGGAAAAGCCTTGGGCTGTTCGCCCGCCAGGCCGAGTTCCCATCTCCTGGGACCCCACTGCCCCTCTGCCCAGGATGTCCACCGACCTGCACGTCATGTCCATGACGCCCAGCAGGGCCCGGGCCCAAAGCCAGCAGCCTCGATCTGGCTGGCTGCCCCCTCAGAACTGGTAGGCCGTCCAGGGTGACTCGGGCACCAACCTGGCCCAAGAACACGATTCTAGGAGCCTCCAATTTAGACACATGGAATATACAAACATCCAATTTCTAAATATCTCTTGCTAGCCTCGTCCACCCGAGCCCAGCTGGATGCGGCCGCTGCGGAGGGAGGGAAGCCAGCTTGGGGTCCGAAGTGGATGCTGACCAGGGCAGCAGGGCCAGCGCCTTTTCTCCACGGGGCCCGCGTGCTAAGGGCTGGGTGCTGACTCAGTCCAGGGCCCTTCTCATGCCCTCAGCCCATTTGCTTGAGGCCCATCAAGAAGGAAAAGGGAGGAAATTCCACATCTTTTGGGATAAACCCAGAAGCAAGGCCTTGGGTGTAGAAAGCTTTGTGTCCCTCTTGGGCAGAGCACATCAAGTCCCCCTCCTGCTGTCTCCAGTCTAGAGCTTGGGGAGAGGGCTGAGGGACACCTGTGTCACGGCCAGGACACTGGGCGGAAGTGGGTGGGACCCAGGCAGTGGGCTCTGGGGAAGTGACAGGCTGTCCAGCCTGGACTAACAAGTGTCATCCCACCTCATGACCACACTTTGCTCCCTCCCACGCATGCCTCCCACCAGGGCACCCAAGGCAGCTGAAGGTGCCGACCTGAAGAGGGTATCTGAAGTGACCCAAAGGACAAAGTGTAGACCAGAGGCTGGCAGGCCAGCTGGTAGACGGGCGTGTGGCTTAGGTTACTTCTCACAGTTCTGAATTCACTGTTTGAACACTGAGCTTCACATGCACGTGGGTTTCTCAGTTCTCCGGAGATAAGTTCCGGCAGCCCTGGGCCTGACCCTGCTGGCCTCTGGGACAGGGCCTCCTGCACTTCAGCCCTGCCCAAAGCCTTCCCCACAAAACACCCCTTGGATCCGACCCTGTCCCTCGGGGTGCAGGAGGGATGAAGCGCACCTTTGACCCCGAGTCCAGGGTCCACGAGGCTCATCTCAGGAGGCCCCAGAATCCTTTACGGCAAAGTGGCTGCTCTGGAGACTCACTTGATCCTGTAGTCACTCATTTCTGATACAAAGTGGATGTGGCTGTGTAACAAACCTGCATCCTTTCTCAGACTGGAAACTCTTGGCTGTAGAAGGTTCTGGCCAGGCCCTGGCCTTGTCTGCGACATTCCGAGGTGTGGGGGGATGGTCAGCCTGGACCCCACAGAAACACCTCAATTTCAGCTGCTCGCTCAGGGCCCCTCCCATCAGCCGTCAGAGGGCAGGGCTGATGTCCCGAGGGGCCCCGCTGGAGCCTACACCTGTGGGATTTGTCCAGCTGACCCGAGTAACTCTCTCCAAGAGCAGCCTGCCTCTGGCTGAAGACAGGGGTCAAGTGAAGCCCCAGGGTGTCTGGCACCCACTTACCTCGACAGCCAGATGGTGTCATCTTCGAAGGACAGGTGTTCCGGCAGCAACAGGCCTGCTGTCTCCCCTCCCACCCACCGAGGCCACAGCTCATCCTCCGTGGTGTCTTCCGTCCCCTGCCTCAGCTGGGCTCGACTCCAGCGAAGAAGTGTGGGGCCTGTGTCTGGTGTGTGAGGCTCCGGGTGGGGCCTGGTGGGGGGCGAGTCCACGCAGGCTGGTCCGTGTGTTCACCGTGGGGGCGCTCACAGATGCCACCAGGAATTTGGCAAAGCCACGGACACTCTTCCCCAGAAAGGCAGGCATCACACAGATCACTTGGGAGGCCACTGCCACAGGGTCACCAGAGGCACGTGAACCACCGCTGGGCAAGGTGAACTTAGATGTGTCCCTTAGGTACCGTTGGACTCAGAGGAAATCCATCCTTCCTCCCCGGGCCGAGGCTCCACCAGCCAGGCCTGTAGGGACCACGTCTCCCTTGGCCATGTCCCTCCATCATTTCTCAAACATCGGCTGAGTGTTTGGGACAAGCAACGAGCTCCGATGAGTTAGCCACGCTGACCTCAGCTGTCACCCCCAGGTGCCCTGCCTCTGGTCCATCCCTACCCACCAGCAGATGCTCCTAACTGGAGCACATGGCCCCACCCCAAACCCAAGAAATTCCACCACACACTGCCATCTTCCTAAAGGTTGTTTTATTGTAAAACCATAAATACAACACCGACATGAAGTCATTTAAGCAACTGATCCTCTCTAACCATTAAAAGGATGTCTTTTTGCCTTGGCATCAACCAACTGGGAAATAATGTTGCAAGAATTCATGGGGTCGAGGGGTTCTGAATTCTGGGCCGGGGCTTTTGGTGATTTAAGGAACCAGGTGGAACCTTCCTCTTCTCCCTGGGAACGTCCCACTTTTGGACAAGAACAGACAGTTAAAAACAGCAACATTTAAACAGTTCAGTTTTAAATTTTATTACTTTGTAAAAAGCTTTCCTTTCTCTGTTCCTTTCCTCCATTTGACATCAGCAAAAGTTTGAAACATCACAAAACTGATTTGGCTGTCAATGGAGAAACGGTACCAGGTACCAAAACAAAGTGAAACAAAAAACCCAAAGGACACACAGAAAACCCTTAAATAAACCCTCAGGTTTGGTCTCGGGGGTCACACAGCACACAAGAACCGTCAACTCAACCCCCATGCAATGTGACTCCTTGCAGCGGTCGGACCCACACTGACACAGGAGACCGCAACAATGTCTTTCGTTAATTAACACAGCAAGGGTGACACTAGGTAACTTTTTTTTTTTTTTTTTTTAAATACAGTACATGGTACACAGGGTCCCAAGACGGCCCTGCAGAAACCCCTCGTGGAGACTTGAGCCAAGCACTGGCTGTTTATAAAAATATTGTGTTGCTACAAAAGTATAAATTAATGCTACCGGTATTAAGAAATATTAAACACATAAAACTTATAAGGATTAAGAAAAATATTCATTAATACCTGTAGAAAACTCTGGCCTAAAAAAGATATTTTTTTTGTGTTTGCTTTTTTGTAAATTTTTTTTTTTTTGTATTTTTTTTTTTTTTTTAAGATGACTTGAGCTTCTTGCACTCGGAGAGAGAGACACAGTCAGATGTGCCTACGGTATTGCCTAGAACGTGGGAACTACTGAGACGGGGGAGGGTGCACGCACGTGGTACTGAGTGGGCGCGGGAGGGAGGGTCACCAAGGCGTTCGAGATTTACCTGATGTGAAGGAATCACCACTGTGAAGTCGTGGGGAAAAGAAAAGGGTAGGATCAGAAGAGAACTGAAAATAATTTATACTTTTTAAAAAATATCTCTGCTCAGGCAGTTGTACAAAATGATTTCCTGATGTGTGGGATCTGAATGGCCCGGGGCATGGTGCCCAGTGGGTCCGAGCCTTCAGCCCCTAGGTCCCTCTGTCTCCTGGCTGGTGAGTCCCAGCCCCATGCCAGTCCACGAGCTTGCTCACTGCTTGGGAACCCAGCCGCCCTGGCTGGCAGGGGAGGGTCGGGAGGGGGTCCCTGGCAGGGACTGGCTGGCACCTGGGTTGTGAGAGGAGCCCCTCCTTCCGGCTGGTCTCAGACCCCAAGGTCTCTGCCAACCTGGACTCCAGGAAGTGCCACAGGGATCCCAGGCCCCTGAGGTTGCAGTCAAGGCTGGGCTGTGCCCCTGTAAGGAACTTTGGTTTGAAGAGTCAAGGTGCCCAGTGGGGCGCGTGGATGGGTAGGACCCTCGTGGGTCCTGATGCTGACGCCCAGCTGCAAACCCAGCCAGTCCTTCTTGGTACAGGAGTTGAATCTTTAAAGTGACACCGTGGTGGTAGGGGGCATGGACACACAGACAGGGTCTTCACCCTCATCCAGGCAGGAGCAGGTGCCTCTTCACCCGAAACCACAGGGCCCTCCAGGGCGAGGCAGGCCTCTGCCAACTACGATCCTCACACCCGAACGAAAGCCAAGGAGAAACAACGAAATCCTCCAGAACCCAAAACAGGGGAAACCGGGAGGGAAACATGAGAGAAAAGAACACTGTATCATTGGTTCACCATAACTGGCCTAGCAAACATTAGCCACAGTGAAGAGAGAGGCGGGGCCCACAGGAGCCTACACCTGCTGCCTGAGCCCCACTCTGCCTCTCGGTTCTGTCTAAAGCAGCAGCCTGTCTAGGAGCCCTCCTTCAGGTACACCCCAGGGACACAGCGGTGGACCTGTTCCTGAGGCAAGGGCAGAGTGTGGACTCACTCCAGCTCAAGGGGCATGAGGCTGCCCACCATGCCCTCTGCAAGCACATCCATGACGACGACATCCAGGTCCTGTCCCCACCTGGGCCATTCCTCACGGGACCTCCCTTCTCCATCCGCACCCCAGCTTCGTTCCCAACCTTTCTTGAGGACCTGTGGAGCCCAGTGTGTGCTGTATCCCGACATCTCTCCAGACGCCCGTTCTCCAAGGAGCCCAGTCCAAGTCCAGACGGAGACAGGGGCCTCCTGCAAGCACGGGGACCCCAAAAGGCAGAAGCTCCACTTCGCCGTGGAGAACGTGCCCGTGGAGTTTGTCTCCGGTGTTTCCTGCCAAGCCCAGGAAAGGAGCCAACCGAGGGAGAGAACTCTGGCAGCCTACAGACCTGGTGTAAACAGTCCTTCCTAGAACCCGGGAGAACCTTCACTTCTGTGTCCACACTCGCCCCAGCCAAGAGCCCTCTGGGCCAAGCACCGGGCCCGCAGGCAGGCTGGGCGCTGATGCAGCAGGCGGTTCCTCCCGCTTCCTGGTTTCTGACTTAGGACGGGAAGGGAGCAGGGGCTGGGACAGGAGCACCCACGCAGTCCCTGGGATGGCACCGCTGCTCCTGGTGGAGCCAAGACCCCACCCTGGGCTACTCCAAATCTGAGGGGCCACCCACCAGGTACGGTCCTAGGCCTGGACTTTGGTGGTGAAGCCCACTGACCCCAGATGCGTCTCCTCTTGGGTCCGTGCACGCCAAAGCGAAGGCCGTTGCTGTCCGAGGAATCACATGGCTGGGGACGCGTGGTGTCCAAGTCCGCGGGCCAACACCTCGAGCTCGAGAACACGGCAGAAATGGCTCCTGGTCTGCCAGCGGCCGAGGGCCTGTGCCGGAAAGTCCTAGAGCCGCCACCGAAGCAGGAAGCAGGAGACGGGAGCCTCGTGTAGGTCACTGCCAGGCTGGGTGCCGGAGACTCTGGAAGAGCCTGCCTCAATCCTTTGGCTGAACTAGAATTTGAACGAGGTGGATATTGCTGTCACTCAGGGGGCTGTGGCTGGACCTGTGAGATCTTTGGGTTGCTAAGCAGGTGGTTGCAGCAGGATCTGCACTGTGAGAAAGCAGACTGAGGGGGCACCTTGGTACAGTCTTTCCTGATGGCAACACCACTTTCTGGGAAACCAGAGGTTGCAAGAGAGAACGGCTGCCTGCCACCCTGGCACCCCACGTGGATGAGGCAGCCCTGGGGGACAGCCTTCTGCGCACCCTGTGGCGTTCACATCATGCCTGTCCTAAGGATGGAACGGAGGTGGAACTGAAGATCGGAACAGATGACACGTGCGACCAGACCCGTCTTTTAGTGAGACTCGCTTGGATTTTCTTTCTGGAGGCCAGACAACCCGTGTTCCAAAGAGACTCCACATGCACATCTGGACTTGGTCTCTGATGGCTTTAAAAGAAAATGAAATGCCTATCTTCCAACTAACTGGCCCCAGACCAGGGGCAACACCAGCGCAGCGCCGCTCCACGCAGCGGGGGACGGGTACCGAGCGGTTTCCACCACCCACACGAAGTGAGCAGCTCTGGTCCCCCTGGTGTGGGTAAAGTGCCAGGCTGTGGGCCCCTCCCCAGCAGCACAGCAAAGCGGGGGGACCCTTCAGCTGTGGGCACCTGTCGCTCCTCAGCCACCTTGCAGCCACCTTCCAGAGCGCCCCCCAAGGTCCAACCGAAATCTGCTGGTACACTCGCAAGTGACATTAGGTGACTGTCCAGTGCGAATGGAGGCCCTGCTGATGGCGTGACCCCAGCTGGAAGTGCTGTGGAGGAAACACCCAGAACTTGCCCGGGCGAGGAGGGACGGGATGGTTGCTGAGACCACGGCCTGCTGTGAGAACGTGGAGCCGGCCCAGCCGAACGCATCTCGGTGCGCCGCAGACGCGCGGGGTGGTTCTCGGTCCCCATGCTGTGTTTTCACACCAGCGTCACTTCCCCACCTGCCGGACCCGGAGAGGACTCTGAGCAGTGCTTCTGTAGTCGAGGTATCTTGCAGTTGAGTGATGCTTTGTACCAGGAAGGGAGGAAGCGGGCTCAGTCAACCCCGGGATGGCAGAACGTGCTTGGGGGAACGGCCCCCACAACGGTGGCCTTCCTCAGCCCGAAGCCCGTGGGATGGCCGTCCACGCCACGGCCATGGGCACCGGAGGGGAGACCACAGCACTTTTCACAGAGAGGTGGGTCGGGGTTGATCAGTGATCCTGCCGGGACCCTCTGTGAGGGGAAGGGGCCACCCCCAGCATTTGGACCGAGTGTGTGGAAAGGAAACTGCTCACGGAGAGGAAGCCGAAAGACATCTTTCACAGCATCAAGTTAAACGCGGCCTAACGCCATACCCCCTCACGACAGCAATCACCTGGCCCACAAGGCACCGTGCTCAACTATCGTCCTGGAAGGAGGGCTGGGGCTCGCGTGGGGACCCCAGGGCCGTGGGCAACGGAACCAGAACCCCTGGGGTCCGGGGAGGGAGGGGAGGCCGAGGGTCTGAGGTGTGACGGACGTGAACATGGGTCATCTCAGGAGTCCCTGCGGAGCCGGGAGTGTCAGTGACGTGGCGAGTAGTGTAATGCACTCTGGGTTTATCAGTCAGACATTCGCAGTACCAGACACAGCGAGCCGGGGGGCCTTCCACCTACATTCAGAGGGGCTCCTAAGCCACCGCTTCCCTATGGCTTCCACCAACCCCACGTCTGTGGGACCTGTGACTCCGCCCCGCTCCTGGTCTCCAAACAGCACAGACAAGTTCATGGTCTTGGCTGCTCAAATACACGAAAACTGGACTGTACAGGGAAGGCTAATAAAAACCTCGGCAGAGTGAATATACATACCACTGAGATGAGCTAGTTTACAGTGTGACTTAAGGAACAAAAGGGCAATTAAAAAAAAAACACTTCAAAATATAAGTTACAGACATTCAGTGCCTCTTAGCAGAGTCTACATCAAATTTGAAAGAACAAAACAAGAAGGTAAAAACTGCTAAAATGTTAGGAAAAAAAATTAAGGAGTGGAGACAGTATCTATACTTCTCTGAAATATGTTTTTTTTTCTCTCTTATATTAAAAAGCCAAAAGTCAGCTTTATATTCTTAAAGTCTCCTTTCCTGATTTGGGGAGATAGTGTGTTTCTAAGGCGGCTGCCGCGGGACCCCGGGACCCCGGGAGCGTCTCGGAGGCAGCAGCTCAATGCCCTGAAGGTGAACAAGAATGAAGTCCAGTGCAGAAACTGTCCATCTGATGCAGTCTGGAGAACCCATAGCAGGGCAGCTGGGGAGGGCAGAGGCAGGGTACATTAGGGTTGGGAGGGCTCAAGGGAGGGGCATGAAGGGAAAATGGGGACCACGGGGTGAAGGACAGAGAGCGTCAAGTCACTTCAGATCTCAGCTGCCTGAACACTTTGCAACGTCGGCGTTCGACCAATCTGCACACCTGAAAACGAAGTCTTAAAAGCCCCTTACTGAGAAAAGGAGGTGAAGCGTTTTCCCTCTTTCTCCAACACTCAGCTTTCCTGACACACCCAGTTTAATGCACACGCGCCCACGAGCAGGCGTGTACATGCACCAGGGTAGTATGTGTGTGCACGCGTGCGCGAAGCTTCTGTGGCCACGCCGGTGAGCAAAGAGCCCCACGCCCGCATCCACGGCACGTGTGCTCAGACACATCCGCACAGGTGCAGGTGTGCACACGCATGCACACACACACTGAAAAAAGCACTTAAGTTTCCAGGGGGCATTTATAATGAGGTCCACAGTGTTTAGAACTTAAATTCCTTTGCTTTGTTTGCGACAGTGTTGTGTATTTTTTCTACCGTTCTGTTTTTCTTGTCTTTTGTCCGGAAGCAGAAGTCTTAAAGCATGTTGGATTTCAGGAACATGAGTTTGTTCATATCTTCTGGACTGAGCAGCCGCCTCCTTTTGATGAGAAGGGCCTGCTCACACATATTTACACACCCACTCCTGGCCCCCACGGCCGGAACCGCGAGGAGCCAGAAGGCGAGCTTGGCGAGTTTCGTGTGCTTTTGGGTGACGCATGACCAGTACTGGAAGAGATCAGGGGTGGCCTGGAAGAGGGGCTCCTGCAGATAATCATACACTTCGTTCTTCCCCAGCCGATCGTCTTCCTGAGCTGCGGGGTTCTCGCCGGTGGCGGAGCGGGGCTTCTTGGCAGCGGGCTCGAAGTCAGCCTCCTCGGTCCAGGACTCCTTAACCTCGTTGATGAGCTCACACACCTTGCCGATGATTTCCTCATGCTGATAGGGCGGGACGGGCCGCAGCTTCTGCTGAGGATCCAGGATCATGGCTACTTTATGCGCCGGGTGCACCTTGAAGTTCTCCTTGAGGGCTTCCAGGAAGAGGTGGCACAGCTTGCTGACGGTGCCCGCGTCGTTGGCCTTGGCCGTGAACAGCTTCTCCAGCCTGACATAGGTGGGCAGCACCAGCTGCAGGGTGGGCTGGCTCTCGTTGCTCAGCTCGATGACCGCCTGCTTCACTGGCGTCAGGATGGCTGCCAGGTTGCTGAGCAGGTGCTTGTTGAGGCTCTGGATGAGGTTCATCTTCTTGGCCCGGCTGTAGAACTCACAGATCTGCTCGTAGCGCTCGTGCACCAGCAGCAGCGAGTCCGTGACCGAGTTCCAGCAGGGCGGCGGCGAGGTCTCCTCCAGCGACCCGAAAGTCTCCTTGGCCAGGCCGGTGGAGCCCGCCAGGTCCTCGCACACGTTGAGCAGCTCGATGACCTCGTGCATGCTGCGGGCCTGCAGCGTCCGCTTGCTCAGCACGCTCTGCACCACTGAGTTCAAGGCACAGGCTGAGCAGCGGAGGCACATGCCGGCCTTGGAGAAGGCGGACGCGCTCACCCGGCAGTCCGTCACGTACACTGTCCTGATCTCCGACATCACGAACTCTGACAACACGTTCTGCACCCAGTGGTGCACCAGGTCGCCGCTGTCACGGATGTCCGCTCCTTTCACACCCAGCACATAGCTCTTGATGTGGTTGCCCTCGGCCTGGTAGGCAGTGAGGATGTAGCAGGAGTCGGGGCCGACGCTCTGCGAGTGACAAGTGACGCCGATGCCCAGGCAGGCATTGCTGCCCAAGGCACAGGTCACCTTCACCTTCACCTGGTTATACATGCGCGGCAGGTGCTTCAGGGCCAGTGTGTTGAAGTTGCCCAGGATCTCAGTGACCGAGAAGGCTCCATAGCGGGCTCCACTGTCCACCAGCGTCTGGGCCAGTTTCAGGAACTCCTTCCCGCTCACCACGCTCAGGGCGCCCAGGTCAGCGCACATGACCCGCAGCAGCCGCTCTGCGATGTTCTGCCGCTCCTTCTCGGGGATCACGCTGTTGGATGTCAAACCACTGGTCGTGGCTGGCAGGGGACACAAGGAGAGAGGTGATTAATCCTGGCCTGGGAGGCTCCTTGATCTGGCAGCAGCCTATCACTCCAAGCATCTAGTATTAGGAACTATGAACAGATTTCATCTTGCACACAAGTGCTATGCGTTTCATGAGAATAACAGTCTATGACTGATGGATTAGTAACGCCCGCCACAGGCGTGGGGACAGCACACAGTGGTATGTGTGCAACATACATGCTACACGCCCCATTCACGCAGACGTTTGTAGCCAACTCGTCTAACCCCTTCCTCACTATAGCAATGGCCTCCCGTTAAGGAATCTCTAGGGAATAAAATATAAGAGGTCACAATGTCAAGAAAGAGCAACGGACAGAAATTGTGCGAGTGGAGTCCGGTTCTGATTCTGTCACTATTTTGTGCTCTGACCACAAGTGGATCAGTTCCTCTGCCCCGGCCTCCTTTGCTGATCCCGTGAGGTTTAGGTGTGAAAGTGCTCTGGAAGCTGTGGTGCGTGGTCTTCGTCATCACGGGGGCACAGGGGGTGGGCATGGGGCAGAGGGGAGCACCCTGGGCTCGGGCCCGGAAGAGACCTACTGTTGTTGGCACTGTTCCTCTGGGCCTGCGGCTTCCACTTCTCCTCCACAACAGCGGGCGGCGACCGGGACTGGCTGGAGGCGATGTTGTTCTCGTTGTCCGCTGCGGGCCAAAGGGACACCGAGTTACCCGAAAGTACCCAAAAGGCCTGTAGACAGACCGACGAGAACTAGAGCATGGTGGGTGGTCCAATCCTGGCTCCTCTTCACACTACTGTAGGTTTGCAAACCCTCATTTTCATTTGGAAGAATGGAGACAATCGCACAGACAGGACACAATCACTAGATACCGCAGGCAAAGCGCGGAGCCCAGCCCAGCATGGAGTAGCACCGGAAACGGAATGGCGTGCCCAGGTCCGGCTGGGAGGCCCCGCTCCCACACACAGCCACAGCGTTCTCACTCTGAGACGGGGGAGGGGTGCCGATTACACCCCAAGTGGCCTAAAGCACCTCACACTCACTGCCTCAAAGTATGCTGTTCTTGGTCTTTACAGCAAATTTAGCAGAAAGTCATTTTATGAGGCTGGCATAACCCTGATCCAAAACTAGAGGGGAAAAAAATCACAAAAAAAGAAATGACAGACCACTATCTCTCATAAACACACACACACAAAAATCAAATCCTTATCAAAATGTTAGCAAATCAATCCAGTAATATATAAAGAGAATAACATATCACAGCTAAGTAGAATGTATCCCAGAAATCCAAGTTGGGGGTAATAACTGAAAACCAGTAAGTATAATGCCCTATACTAAGTGAAAAACAAAGAAAAAAGAAAAATCACCCCCACTGATGTAAGTGCACATGAAAATGCGGTGAGATTCCTATAGCCTCCCATGACACAAACTCTCAGCAAACCAGAAAGAGAAAGAAACTTCTGCTTGATAAAGGGCATCCGAGAAAACTTAAGTTTACTGACTTGACAGGAATCAAAAGGATTAAAAGGAAATACCATGCATGAATAGTAATATTCCAACAAATTAGATAACCTGAATAAAACAAATTCTTAGAAAGACATAAACTACCAAAAAATGATACAAGAAATGGAAAATCTGAATAGACCTATAAAAAAAGATTGATTTAGTAATCAAAACACTTCTCACCCTGGCTGCTTTGGCTCAGCAGTTGAGCGTCGGCCCATGGACCAAAGAGTCGCAGGTTCAATCCCTGCCAAGGGCACGTACCTCAGTTGTGGTTCGACGCTGGCCCTGGTCGGAGTTGTTTGGGAGGCAACCAGTCGATGTGTCCCTCTCTCGTCAATGTTTCTCTCTCTCTCCCCCTCCCTCCCACTCTATCTGAAGATAAACAGAAAAATATCCTCGGGTGAGGATTAAAACAACAACAGTAACAAAAGAAACACTTCTCACAGGAAAAAAAAGAAAAAAGATTCAGATGGTTTCCCTCATAAAGTCCACCATATGTTAAAGGATATCTGCATAAATTCTTCCTAAAAACAGAAGAGGGAACACTCTTTCATTTTATGAGGAAGTATTTTTCTGGTACTAACATCAAAGAAATTACAAGAAAAGAAACTACAGCCCACTATCCCATAAGACTAGACACAAAGATCCTTAATAAAATACGGCAGACCAAATCCAGCTATGTATATATAAACAGATTATACACCAAGACCAAGTGGGATTTATTCCAGGAATATAAAGTTTCTCTTTCTCTCTCTCCCTCCCACTCTGTCTGAAAATAAATGGAAAAATGTCCTCAGGTGAGGATTTAAAAAATAAAAAATTAGGAAAAAAAGTTAACTAAAAATGGAATACAGATATAAATGTCAGAGCTAAAACTATAAAACCCTAAAAGAAAACGCAAGTTTTTGTGACCTGGGCTTAGCAACCGTTTCTTAGATGGGACACCAAAAACACACACAGTGAAAGAAAAGTAAATAAATGGACTTCGTCAGAATGAAAAGGTTTTGCACTTCAAGGGACAGTATTAAGAGAGTAAAAAGGCTTCCCCCAAAAATGGGAAAAAATACTTGCAAATCACGTATCAATAGAGGTCTTGTATCTAGAATATATAAAGAACACTCACAATCCAATAAGACAAAAAAAAAAAAAATTAAAAAATGAGAAAAGAATCTCAATATAATTCTCCAAGGAAGATATTCAAATGATAAGCACAAAAAGAGATGTTCCACACCATTCAGTCACCAGGAATATACAGAAAAAGGGCACAATGAAGTACACCTTCACGCACACTGGGATGGCTACATTCAGACACTTCAGTAGAGAAGCCAGACCCCTCATCCACTGCTGGTGGGAATGTAAAAACGGTACAGCCACATCAGGAAACCGCCTGGCAACTCCTCAGATGGTTAAACACAGAGAAACTGTATTTCCACACCCAAGTATATACCCATGGAGTTAAAAACACATGTCCACATAAGGACTTGTACTTGAATGTTCATAGCAGGTGTATTCAGTGGCCCCAAACTGGAGACAATTTAAACGTCCGTCAATGGGTGAATGGGTGAACAAACTGTGGTATATCCAAACAACGATACAGTACTCCGAAATAAAAAGAGGAATGGCCAGTAACACAGAATGTGGATGAATGTCAAAAGCATGCTAAGTGAAAGAAGCCAGACACAGGAGACTAAATCCCGTATAATGCCACTGGTATAAAATTCCAGTAAAGAACAACGGTAACGAAGGAGAGCAGCCAGTGGTAGCGGGGCTGGGGTGAAGGCAGGCACGGGCTGCCAAGAGCCAGGAGGGAGCGCTCTGGGTGGATGGGAAACCCATCGAACTGCACTCTTGGAACGGGTGACCTTTGTTTCTACACAGCGATCTCCATAAAGCCGAATTTAAAATGACTGAAGGAAAAAACCCGTTAAAAGAGTAAGACTGGTTAACTGAGTAGTGAGATTGTGGTCAGTTCTTCGTTTCCCAATTTCTCTGCACTTTCCCGATTTCTTTTAATGAATAGATCTTACATTTAAAAAGGGGAAGCACAGCCCGGCCATGTGGCTCAGTGGTTGAGCATCGATCTATGCACTAAGAGGTCACCTGTTCGATTCCTGGTCAGGGCCCAGGCCCAGGCTGTGGGCCTGATCTCCAGTACGGGTCATGCAAGAGGGAGCCGATCAATGTTCTCTCTCATCGATGTTTCTATCTCTCTCTCCCTCTCCCTTCCACTTTCTTTAAAAAATCAATAAACAAATTTTTTTTAAAAAAGGGAGGGAAGCCCAGTCCGGCCGGTGTGGCCCAGTGGACTGAGCGTCCTCCCATGGACTGAGAGGTCCCAGTTGGATTCCGGGCCAGGGCACATGCCCGGGTTGTGGGCTTGATCCCCAGTAGGGGGCGTGCAGGAGGCAGCCAATTGATGTCTCTCTCTCATCAATGTTTCTATCTTTCTCCCTTCCTCTCTCTAAAAATAAATCAATAAAAACATATTTAAAAAAATAAAATAAAATAAAAAAGGGAAGCACAAATTTTGAAGCGGACACTAGCAGCCTTTCTTGTTTACTTTCTCCACCAGAGGACAGGGGTTTCAAAACCCCGGGCTTGCACTCAGCTCTGCCATGGCTGTGGGTGTGACCAAGAGGGAGTCACTTCTGCTCCCTGGGCCTCAATTTCTCCCATAATGGTGGGCTGGGCAAGCTACAGGGTGATTCCCTCATTCTCTGACTATCTGCAGGACTTGGAATCAAAATTATTCCACCTAGCACTAGAAAACGTCTGGTACTGGTTGAATAAAAAAACATTTTTCCCCTCCACCTCTCAGGCACTGCCGTGGCACTGGTGAGGTGCTCGGTAAGTGCTCTGTAAAAGGCTTCATTCACAGCTTGAGCTGGACATCAGGTTTCCTCAGCGTGGCTATCCCCTGTAACACACACACGCACACGCACACACACACACACCCCACCCCCCCGTAAAGGGCTGGATGCAAAGCTGGAATAAAGGCTGTCTCCCAAGGAGAGACCAGTGCAGGGGGGAGGAAGTGGTTGCCTCCAGCAGGGGATGGAGAGAGGCGCCGGCTGCTGCTCAGTTTTATCTTAGAACGTGCCACAGCCCGAATACTTCATCTTCAGAACCCCAGCCTGTGGAGAGTGCTGGTCAGCCCACTTTACAGATGACAAGACCGAGGCCCAGAGAGAGAAAGTGGTTCAGAGATTAGCGATCAGGTGTGGCCATTCCAAAATCCTAAAACTGCAAATGCCAACCTGCTTGCCACCTGGGAGTCCCATGCCTCTAAGCCGGGGCCCTGGGAAAGTCCCCATGCCTCTCCTGGCGGTGGTCCTCCACAGTGTAACTGTAAAAAGGGACAGGGAGGGACGACCCCTGAGGGGGCTTTGCTTCCGCAAACTCTCCACCTCATCTATCAGTTCATCCAGCCGAAGAGGATGGTTGTTGAGAGGGTCGGGATCCTGGCCTAACATCACGACTGCACAGCCTTGAGCAAGTTACTTAGCCCTGTGGTGCCTCAATGTTCTTATCTGTGAAGTGGAGCTAACACGAACACTTAACTCAGAGGGCTGTTCTGAGGGTTAAGTGAACTAGTACATGCAAAACTCTTAGAATAAGTCCTGGCGCCAAGGAGGACTTCACATCACGTTGGCAGCCGTGCGTCTCTGGACCAGTGATTCTGTCCTCGGAGCCTCAGTTTCCTCACCTGCACAATGGGATCATGTCAGCCAGGTAACAGGCTTGTTCGGGAGCTCTGCCGAAATAACCACCTGGCACATACTAATCGCTCACTAAACACTAGCTGTCTTCAGTAGGACCACTGCCAAAACAGGCTCCTGGCCTGGCACCAGCAGCAAGACAGGCTTCCTCACAGCACAGAGAGGAAGTTTATTAGTGGGAATTACCCTGTGCCATTCAGCAGCCTCTTAATGAGATTGGTGTTATTGGAGGCTGATCCCCTTATCAGCAGCGCTGTGAAATGCGCAGATCATGACGTTTAATTTCTCTCTATGGAGTCAATCCTTTAATCCCGACTCAGCCTGGCTGGGATTCAGCCTGGCTTTGCACTGGATTGCCTCCCGCATTCTCTGCCAGCACTGGACCAGAACAAAGCGGCCCAAAGCTCTCCCTGGAAAACAAGTCTGCCGTGCTTGGGGGAGGTGGGGCCACTACAAGGTGCAGCCTTGATTTGCATTTTAATGGCCTCTGCGCAAGTGCCCGAGGGCTGGCCCAGCAAGGCCCGGCCTCTTCCCTAATTAGCCTCTGCTTCCAGAGGCAGGTGGAGGAGCAGGTGGGGGGCTGGGTTTCAGAGGTGGCGGAAGGAGCTTGGCTGTGGGCGGCTCAGAAGCAGGCCCAGAACAGCCTTCCACCTGCTGTCACTATTCCTCATAGGCCAAGTCTGAAAGCCCGAGCTGGCATCCAAGGCCTCCCCTGGTGCAGGATGGTTGACGGCAAAGGCGAGAGGGAGGTGTGAGACCCACGCGAGGGAGGTGTGAGACCCACGCGAGGGGGGCAACTGGAGATCGCAGGTTTGGGCCCCGTGTTAGAGGCTCGGAGAGGGGACAAGCTTCCTGCCCCAGGTCACAGGGCCTGCAGCCGCACCAGAGCATGGAACTCACACGTCTTGGCTGACAGTGCAACTCTGCCCTGCTTTTAACAAGTCCGTTAGAAATAATAGGTTCCCCAAAACCATGTGGCTTAGCCCCCTCGTGCACAGCAGATACCCAATAAATATACGCTGAACAGTGAATGGGTGAACGGACGAATGAAGAGAGGCCCATCGTAACAAAACAGGACCTCGCCTGAAAGAGAGTCCAGTCCTGTACTGCTCTGTGCTCGTGGGTTAGAGCTGCAAGGTGACATGGAAGATGTGTAAACCTGAGAGAGATGCAGTGATAATAAAAACAGCAGAGATAACGGCAGCTCCCATTACTGGATCTCTATACATCGGACATCACGTCCAACGCCTCCACAGGACCACTCTGAGGGAGGGGTGCAGGGACAGCTCGCTGCCTCCCCCAGATGCCTGGGCAAAGGCTCTGGGCATCTGTCCTGCCCCTGGAATCTGAGCATGTGTGACACGTGCCACTTGTCATCTACGTGGTAAAGAAGAAAGTGTGCCGCTTTCCCACTCATCAGTCACAGAGAGGATCCCGAAGACCCAGGGGCCACACAAGAAAGGAGCCTGGGTCCCTGAGTCACCGTGTGGAAGGCCACGCACCAGGCCACCTACAGTAGGCTGTGATGTGACTGAGAAATAAGTGTTTATGGTGAACCACGGAGAACGTGGCACTTACTGTTCTCAGCAAATGGCGTCTCCCTGACTAAAACAGAAATGAGACAGAAGTGGGGTGCTACTGTGACACAGCCCCCAAAACGGAGGTACTTGCTACCAAGCGGGAAAGATGGCAGAGCCGAGGACAGGTGTCCGCAGCAGTCTGCTGGCCTGACGCCCACCGCAGGGACTCGCACAGCGTGGCCCTGGACTAGCAGCAGGGGCACAGCCTGCGGCCGTCCCAGAGGTGCAGAGTGCGGTCCCACCACCCCAGACCAGACCCACACAATCCCCACCTCGGGGTGGGCACAGAAATCCACACTGGAACCAGCCCCCGCCCCGGTGACTGACGCCTCTGCCCCTCGATGGAGCAGAGGCCTGGGCTGAGGCCCCCCCGCTAGCACCTCCTGCCTCTGCTCACCCCGATCTCAGCACACACTTGATGTCCACCTGCACATCTCCTTCCTGGTCAGCTCCTACTCGGCCTTTAGGCTCAACACGGGAGCCACAACCTCCCAGAAGCTTCCTCAGCTCCGTGCCCTCTGCACTCTCCTGAGCCGGCTGTCGCCCAGAGCATACCCGTGGCCCCTGACCATCACCTGGGGCGTCAGGCGGGCCGGGGCGGGGGGCGGCCGGTCCCTCACCTGCGTGGGACTGCATGTGCTCCAGCAGGTTGTTGTAGAACTGGAACTGGATCCCGCAGGCGCCGCACGTGTAGGGTTCTGCGGGGAGAAACCAGGTGGCCATTTTAGGGGCAGAACGGCCCCGGCGCCTTCCCGCTGGGCTGTGGGCAGATCTGGACCTGGGAACCCAAACACACACTGGGGCTCCGGGCCCAGCCTGCCCTGCCCCTGCACTAGCTGGTGAGGGGAGGCTGGGAGAGGAATGAGGATGGAGAGAGGGAGACGGCAGACACGGGACCACCGGATGCGGTCGGGCAGCTATTTACTGAGTGCTTACTGTGTGCCGGGCACTGTTCTGGGCACTGGGGACGGCTGGAGGAGGGACTGGGGGCTCTCGGGCACTGTCTCACTGGTTCCACGGCCCACCTGTCGCCTGTGGGAGCACAGTGGCCTCACCGCGCTGGGTGAACGGATGCATCCAGGCACGAGTGAACCAGACAGGCAGTGGGCACAGGAAGGCAGGGGAGGAGACGAGAGAGAAGTGGAGGGAGCCACAGAAACCCAGGAAGCAGCCCAGTAAGATGAGGCCGGGAGAGGAGAGACAGAGGGCGGGCGGGAGGGGGAACGGGCATGTCGGAACGGGGACGAGGGTGCCTCTGTCTTTCCTCTCTGTTTCCAAACCCGAGTCAGTGCCCAGCAGAGACGAGGGAGGAAGAAGAAAAAAGGGGTGCGAAGTAGTCATTTTCGGGATAGAATGGCCCTAGCGCCTTCCTGCTGGGCTGCTGGTCCAGGGGTAGAGAGGAGGAGGATGGCTGCAGGGGGCTCGGAAGAAGTGTCCTGAGGCTGCTGCCGTGAGCAGGTGTGGGGGGTCTGTGTTCCTGCCAGGGCTGGGGGTACAAACGCCTCCACCCGCCTGGGGCTGGGCCCTCCTGCTCTTCAGATGCCCTGTCTGCCCGGAGAAGGTCAGATGCTCTGGGGGGGGCCCTGAGAGCATGAGGCCACCGAGTTCATTCCCTGCCCTGCCTCGCCCTCACCAGCCCCCCAGTGGGACCATCACTTACTCTGTAGGAGAGGGAAAGTATTGGAAATCAGGGGACTTGCAGTTTCTGCAAAAGAGAAACAGTTTAGCTAGGTCTCTTCCGCTCCGGTGCTCTGACATGACTCGTTACTTCCATTCTTAGCAAGCAGTGAGCCAGCCGGGCCTCAGGGGAGGGGGGGGCACCTGGGCCAGGCTCACGTCCTGGGCGGGGCTGGGGCACCCCGCAGGGCAAGGGCAGCCAGGGCCATTTCTCTGGGACACACTCAACTCTCAGAAAGTGGGCCCAGAGTGAAATAAGGAATGTCCACACCCGGCTGCCCGCTGCAGGACAGGAAGCTGCTTCTAAGTCCTGGTACCGTGCGGGGTGTTTGGCACTGAGCACCAGAGCAGCCACAGCGAGGGCTGTGCTTTGGAGGTGTTCTGCCCACCGGAAAGCCCCCCACGTTTCCTGGTGTTGTCAGGTGAGCCTCAGACGCAAGAGGCAGCAGCACTAGGCTGGCCTCCCAGCTCCACCACTTACAAGCTGGGGCCCTGGGGCACAATCCACTTTCCTGAGCCTCAGATTTTTCATCCAAAGAGGCCAGAGAACACTGACTGACCCTCCTCCTGGGGCTGTGGTAAAAGTGAAAACAGATAAGACACACACAGTTCTGAACACATGCCAGGCACATAGTAAGCGCTCAATAAATGGGGGCTGCCCTTTACACCGTCGGTTCCCAGTTCTGAGTATCAGCTCTGGCGGAAGGGGAGGCAGGGGTGCAGCCTGGCTGGCTAAGAGCAAAGACTCCTGGGAGACCAGGGTTCCAGGCCTGATGCTTCCTGGGTGGCCGTGGGCAAAACTCCATCGCTTCGGGCCTGCCTCCTGGAGATGCTGCTGGATCACGTTTTTTGAAAGGGCTGCGGCAGCTTGGAAAAGTGGACACGCTCTCTACATAAGGGGTCGTGTCTACATTCTCAGGGCTACCAGACCATACCTCACTCCCTTGCTCAGGGCACTCATCCAATAACTTGGTTTACTTAAGAAAAAAAAAACAAAAAACCACCCCACCATGTGAGCGGGTACGTACGTCATCTATGCAGGACACTTGCTGAATGTTCACCAGCACGGGGACATGGGTGCTATGCCCACTTTACAGCGGAGGAGAAATTAAGAGGTGAGCCCCAGTCACCAGCTCATCAGTGGTAGAGCTGAGGTTCAAACCTTGGCTGGAGACAGAAGCCGGAGCTCAGATTCCTACGTAGAAGTCTCCACGTTCAAATCTCTGCTCCCAACTGTTTCATAAAGCCCCTGATGGATGGTCAAGCTGTGTCCATCATCTGTCTATACGCAAGCAGTGCCCAGGCTATGCCGGGCACACGCTGAAACCTCCTATGATGAATAAAACTTCAACTGTGCAAGAGAGTGGATGCCCTATTTGAATATAACCAGTGTCAGAATTCTCCTCCCTTCCTGCCCTGGCTGTCACTGTGAACTGCCTTGCTATGCCTTTCTCATACACAGGCTCCTGGGGATCACCCACAGCCCCACCAGGCTGACCCAGGTCCATCTGGAGAGTGGCCTTTGGCTGCTCTATTCTAAGACACTCTCTGTTCTGTCCGGGTCCTGGGGGGGAGGAAGCCACCAGGGGGCGCCAAAACACTACGAGTCACCTTAGGCAAACCTTGGGCTGGTGGAGGCTGAAAGGAAACCATTGGATGGTTCCTGGTCCAAAGTGGAGCCAGAACTCAGGGTCTCTGGCTATCAGGCCACACTCTCTCTGCTGTAACCCCTTAGCCTCGCCTGGAAAGAAAATGGCTATGATGTTTACCCTAAAAACAGAGAAATGTCTCTTTAGGCCCAATGCTCTAGGGCCACATAAGTAGATGGTGTCGGCCATGGGGAAGGGGGAGTTCCTTTCTCCATGGGGAAGAGACGCGGAGGGTCAGAGTCCACGAGGGGCTCCTGAGGCCCAGAAGGATGTCCCTGAAAGAAAAGGCCCCTGTGCTTCTGCCCAGCCGGGCAGCCTATTTCCCTGCCTCCTCCCACCACCACCAGCGTGCACCGTGGAGACCCCAGCCCGAGGCCTGCTGCTGCGACCGCGGTGGGAGCTCACAGAACTGGCAACCTCTGCCAGGACACCTGTCACCGGGCACACTCACCGCTGGAGTTTTGGGAACTGCTATTCGTCTCTTCAAAGTGGTTTTGTGCTTTGCTTTCTACTCTCCGACTGAAAGCGCTTTCTGCTGGGTGGGGACAGGAGAGAGCAAGAGAAAATGATGGTGACTGGTCAGCATTAGGTCTAAGGGGGTGTGCCAGGGGCGGTCAGAGGCTAGGGTGCCTGGGAACGCCACAGCTCCTGGGCTGCGCAGGGCTTGATGTTGGGGGAATCGGCACAGTGGGGAGCTCCAGGATCCCAAACCAGAACCCCCAGCTCCTCGAGCTCACCTGAGTGGCCTGATACCTTGTCAGGGCCCCAGGAGACCCTCCTGACGTGCCCGGAGGGCGTGGAGGCCCAGGCACGGGGGGATGTGTGGGTGGCCTGTCCAAGTGCACACAGGTAGACTACAGCCAAGTGAGCAGACGGCAAGTGGGCCTGGGTCTCCCAGCCTTGGCCCTGGAGGAGCCACATTTGTAACGCTGAGTAATTTGGACCTGCCCCTCCCCAGTCCCGGTGCCAGATTCTGCTGGCTCCGCCCACAGCGGAGCAGGGCGGATGGCAGACTGTCTTCTGGAGGTGGTTCTGGCAGAGCAGGGGGTCAGGCAGCTAATTCCAGCTCCACATGCCGAGTGGCCCCTGGATGGCAAGGAGGTGCCCGGGAAAGAAGCTGTGCCAGGCAGAGCGGGGCAGCCCCACACCCAGGAGGCCAAAGACCAGGTGAGGCCTGGTCAGAGTTCACCTGGGGGAAGGGAGAGCTCCTGAGTGATTTCCTGGGCGTCTGCTGACAGGTGGCACTGTCCTCAGTGGCTCACCCTCTCCCAAGCACTGCTGAAACCCCGGAGGACAGACAGCGTCCAACCGAGCAACCGGTGGGAAAATACCAGTTTAGTCCCCACCCCTCCCCGACCTGCAGGAGGTACTGGGACAGAGCACTGGAGACGGAAGGTGAGTCGGCTTTTCCAAATGGGTCTTGGCACCATGGGTGCTGGATGCTCCAGGAGACGGGCTTCTGGGAACAAGTCACTGGGATGAGCAGCTGACCCAGCCCCTTTCTTAAGGAGAAACAATTTGCATAAGGATGTCAAAGGCTCTGAGAAGTTCAGCAGAAAAGAATCCACTTTGCTGTATTTAACCCAGCCTTCCAAATGGATTTGGCCACGAAAGTCTATTTCTTAATTATCAGATTCCTTACTATCCCTCAAAAAACGGTGGTTTTAGGAACGCACTTTGGGAGACGCCACTGTCACCCAGTCCACTCACACTCAGGCTGTGGGGGTTGGGGTTCCAACGACCATCGGGTGACGGGGAAGGAAGCAGAGGCAACTCTCCCAGGTCCTGCTCAATGCCCCACTGCCCAACCGCAATGGTGTCTCCCGATGCAGACTCCTCCCTGCGGGGGGCCGTCCGCAGCATCTCGGGATACACCACCCTCTCTTCCAAATGTATCTACAGACTGGGCTGCAGCTACATATCTGCCTCCTTCAAGATGTCTTCTGTAAACTGGCAAAAAAAAAGGCCTCTCAATTCTTTGCCTAGGGTAAACGAGGATGGGGTGGGGGCATGCTCACTTACTGAGCACCTACTATGTGCCAGGCACTGATCAGACGTCTTACTCCCTCGATCCTCCCGATCGCTCTATGAGGTCCGCGCTGTCACTTCCATTTACGGGGAAAAACAGAGGAAAGTGAGTCTGACAAGTTCCTGAGGCTGAAGATGCTGCAAATCCTGAGACGGCAAACAAGGGGACCCGTTCTCGAGGCAGATGCTTCCTTCTCCACTTAACCCGAGCGAGCGGCGATGCTGACCCCTCTGCAGAGGATCTCCGTGCAGCCTATCCAACTTATTGGTAGAACTCAGGACAACCGAAGTTATCCATTCGTCTCCTCTTACTCAGTTCACAAAGCAAATTCTGACCCGCTGCTGCCGGCACCGCGGCCGCAAACCACGGGCTGTCCCGTAGGTGAGGTCCCACGCCCGCACATCCACACGGAAGAGCTGCCTCTTCCGGCACGACGAAGGCGGCGACAACTTCCAGCTCCACCGTGGGGTTCCTGCTCGCAACCTGGTGTCCTCTGCTCTGCCCTCTGGTGAGCCCAGGTGTGTCCCCCAACCCCACGTCTTCCAGGTCACATCGAGGCAGCTAGAAGCAAGTCCCAGAGCTTCCACGGAAAGACCACACAGCCCGCTCCACGCAGTTTCCTGCAGAAACCACGGGTGTAAAACCTTCTAGCCACAAGGTCAAGAGCAAAAAAGCAGCATGTGAAAACCATGATCCCATTATTTAGCTGAGCCAACATCTACCACCACCAAGCCCATGATGACCAGTCTGTTTCTAGAAAAATACAATGGCTATCGGCTTTTCTCAACACAGTAACCTGAAAATCCATTACGTTCAAGGTTGATTAAGGACTTACTCTCCTTTTGGGACATGTAACCATAATAAGCATATCTTCAAACATTTTGAAAAACCACATCCTTGCCCAACAGCAGCCCCCTGAACCAAAGAGTAATGGCAAACGCGACTAGTCACTTGGCTGTACCACCAGTCCAATCTGCTGATCACAGAACTGATCACGTGTCTATTCGTGGATGGCTGTGGGCCTCTGGAAAGCAACTGGAAGGCCCCTGTTCCCAGAAGAGCACATCATCCTTCTACCATACACCCCACATATCCAGGCAGGCGGCCCAGGGCTCCTCCATCTGGGTGCGATCAGGATTCCTCATAACTGCTCCTCAGCACACAGTGCATCTGGTTTCCCAGGAGAAATGCTGCTGTGAACCTATCACTGTCTGTTCATCCTTCTGAGTCTGAGCTTCTCTCTGCATGGACTCAAAAGAACCCTGGAGCTGGCATCCATCGGCTTCCTGCTGGGCTGTGGCCCATGGAGCAATTTCACAGGTAGAACTAGGGAGAGGGAGGCCAGGTCAACCACTCTGCTTCAAAGAGAACAGCTCCTCGTAGAAGTGAGTTTTTAGACTGGGTTCTGAAAGATGGGGGATGCAGACTCATGCCAAGGGGGGTCCAGGCAGGTGACATAAATGGATGAACGGGGCTGGATGTAAGACAGACGACAGTGTGACCACAATGAGAAATGACACCTGCCACATGGCTATTGTGTTGGGTAGGCAGGAGGGAGTGGTGGGGACTGTGGCAAACCGGAGAGCACATGCTCTCTGAAAGGAGGCGGCTGTGGCTCAGCCCCAGGCCAATTGCTGCCCTGCAGGAAAGTGGGCCCGGAACTCAGATCTGACGTGTCAACGTCAGCTCGGAATCACGTCTTACATGAAACGTTCTACTGTTCAATTGTTGGCAATGAATTTAAAACACTTTTTAAAAACACCTTAGGACATGACTCAGGAAAAAATATTCTCCTGTTTAAAAAAAAAAAAAGTTTGTAAACCATCTCGTACAAGCCTCTGATTTAGGATACGAAAACTCAGAGTCAGAGGTTAGTGAGGTGGCTGGCCATGTCACAGGGCCAGTCAGAGGCAGAGCTAGGACCCAGATTTGTCCCGGAGAACCATGGGACCCACCTCTTGCTCTTGCAAGGGAACAATGACCCCGGGCAGCTGTGGCAGGTGGGTGAAGGGGGGAGTGGAGGAAGTGTGGGTGACAGGCCATTGGTACCTGCAGTTGCCTTGTTTGCCGGAGATCCTGAATTTGGAGTGCGGAACGTCTGGGTTTGGGTGGCTGGAGGAGTGCGGTGTAAGAGGGTGGAGCATCGGACCACGGAGGCCGAAGCTTTTTTCCCCGACTGGTTCGTCTGGGTCTTCGCGGCCACGAAGCGTGGAGATGGGGAGACCTCTGGATGTGAACACTCAGAGCCCGTGTCTGGATCGTCCGGTGGCTCCCACCCGGGGGCGGTACCTGAGAGGGTCACGCTCTCAGTCCCCAAGAGCCCTTGGAGCTGGACAAGTGGCCTCTTGAGCCACAGACCCCCATGCTCGAGGGTTGACACCTCTTCTCAGTCCACAGAAAGCAAAGACTCTTGCTCCTGCCTGGAGCCTGAGAGAGTCTGGGAGTCTAGAACCTTGCCCAGCTTCTCCTCCAGGGACTCTATCACACGTTATCCTCCCGCTGGCCCCAAGGGTGTAAGGCAGACAGGGAGGCAGAGGCTCAGCGAGGGACACACACCACTCCAGGGTCACAGAGTGGTCTGGGATGGAGCCAGGATGAATTTCCCAGGCTCCTAACTCATCTCACACAATAGTCTGCACCGTCTGTTGACTTTCTTACATGAAATGCTATCAAGCTGGAATTCCTATTGGGCTTTCACCAAGAAAAGTTTTAGACAGACTGGCTGATTGCTCTTGAAAGAAACATGTGAGCTATTTACACACAAGAGATGTTTAAAAATAAGAGAACAGTGGTCTCTCCTTTCTATAAAGCTAAACGTTTAACTGGAGCAAAATATTCAGAGAATATATGGATTCAAAAAAAGTAACCATGCAACTGAGAGAGAGGAGGGATGGGGGTGGGGGAATCTCCCTGAAACCTTTACTAGGTAGAGGGAGAGGCAAGGACTCCTCTACCTACAGTGGGAGATGGGGTGCCTGAGGGTCTAATTTGGGAAACCATCCTCGTGGATCTGTCTTCGGAAGAGAACCGGACACCTTACACTTCCGGCCAGGCTGCAGCAGCTGTCGTAGGACTAGCCCTTCTCCGAATTCAAATGTAAAGCTGGACGAAATACATGAAACATCAGTTTTCAGACTTTGAACAGAAGAAGGTGCAGGACTGTGAATCATGAAAGAAGACCTCCCGGGAGCCCCATGACCATGCCTGCCCTCTGCCTGGAGAGACCTTCTGGACCATGGCACAGAGGTGAAGCCCACAGGAAGCACTGTAGTCACCCTGAACTTCGTAGATGGTGATCAGAGTTCAGGGAGTCTAAGACGGCTGGAATTTGCAGGGCAGAATAACAAAGAAGAGAGAATCAGGCAAAAATAAAAGAACTCCACAAATATGCAGAGTCTTTGGCTGGATGCCAAACTGATGGGTGCAGAGGGAGCCTCGGCGAAGCCTGGCTGACAACAGCTAAGGGGGCTACGAGCTGAGTCCGGATTCAGAGGCTGCACAAAGGTAGAGGATGCTGGAGTTCCTACCTGCCAGAAGGACCTTGCTGAATATCATGAGGACTCAGCTGAGACCCAGAAGAGCCTGGTTCTAGAAGGATTACTCTAACCCTAGCATAAAGTCTACAGTAGTTCTCCCTATCCATGAGAGATACATTCCAAGACCCCCAGTGGATGCCTGAAACTGGATTGTATCGAATCCTAGATATACTACCTTTTTGGCTATGCATACATATTTGCAATAAATTTTAATTTTTAAATTAGGCACCCTAAGAGATTAACAACAATAATAAAATAGAACAATTATAACAATATACTGTAATAAAAGTTATGTGAATGGCTTTGGGGCCATTATTAAAATGAGGCTTATTTGGAACACAAGCACTGATACTGTAACAACTGACCTGAGAGCTGGGATGGCTACTATGGGGTAGTAGTTACACAGCATGGATAAGCTGCAAAAAGGGATGATTCAAGTTCTGGGAGGGATGGAGCATGATGGCACGAGACCTCATCATGCTGTTCAATACAGTGCACAACTTAAAACATATAAATTGGTTATTTCTGGAACCTTCCATTTAATATTTTTATACCAGAGTTGACTGTGGAATCTAAAACGATAGAAAGTGCAACCGCAAATAAGGAGGGGCTACTGTACTTAGACCTGCCTAACACAACTTAAAAACAAGCTTTGAAAGTACCAGGCTAATCTGTATTAACTGTCTGCCAGAACAAAATTAAACATTTTTTTCAAAAGAATATAACAAAATCCAGACACTCAACAACACTGCATCCATAATGTGCAGCACAGAATAAAAAAGTATTCATCAGAAAAACATGAATGATACTCAAGAGGAAAAAAACAGTCAATAGAAACATATAGAAATGACAGGAATAATCAAATTTGCAGATAAGGACCTTAAAGCAGCTATTATAAATATGCTCAAAGATTTAAAGGATAACATGAACATAATGAAGAAAAAATTATGTAAAAAGGAACCAAATGGAAATTACAGAGATAAAAAATATGACAGCTGAAATGAAAAATTCATTTAATGAATATTTCTAATAAAAAAAATTAAGACATTGTAGAAGAAAAGATCAGGAAACTTGAGGACAGAGCATTTGAAACAATCCAAATTGAAACACAGAGGGAAAACAAAGCTAAAACACTGAATAGAGCTTCAGTTGATGTGTAAAAATATCAAATAATCTAACGTACATGTAAATAAAGTCTCAATGGGAGGAGAAAGATGGATGAAGAAAAATATTTATAGAAATACTAACTGAAAATTTTCCTTGTTGAAAACTATAAACCCAAGTGCTCAATAAACTGCAAACAAGATAAATCCAAAGAAAACTAGATATCCATAATCAAATTACTAAAACCAGTAATATAGAGAAATATGTAAGATTAGATCTAGAGGAAAAAATACATTAAGTATAGAATAATGACCAGAATGATCTTTGATTCTCATCAGACACAAACAACATAAGCCAGAAGATAAAAAAAATAAAATTTTTAACATGCTAAAAAAAAATTCCTCAATCCAGATTTCATATCCAGAGATGTCCTTCAAAAGGTGAAATAAAAACATCTCCAGTTGCCCTGGCCAGTTTGGCTCAGCGGTTAGAGCATCAGCCTGCGGACCAGAGTCCCGGGTTCGGTTCCTGCTCAGGGTACGTACCTCGGATGCAGTTTGTCCCCAGCCCCAGTTGGGGTTGTGTGGGTGGCAACTAGTCAATGTGTCTCTCTCACATCGATGCTTCTTTCTTTCTTACCCCCTCTCTCCTTTCCGCTCTATCTGAAGACAAAATTGCAAAATAAATAAATGTCCTCGGGTGGAGATAAAAAAAAAACACATCTTCAGTTAAGAAAATCTTTCACTAACAGACGTACAATGTAAGAAATGTTCAAGTAAGTTCTTCAGGAAATAAAGGAAAAAGATAATAGAGGAAACTCAGATTTATATAAAGAAAAGTATAGAAAATGGTACATATGTGAGTAAATATAAAAAGCATTTTCTCATTTCTTAATTACTTTACTAAATAATTGACTGTTTAAAGCAAAAAATGACTGTTGGGTTTATAACTTATTTAGACTTCTATATATAATATATATGTATGATATAAGATTTATGCAAAATTTAAGAATAGCATAAAAGACAGGAGGGCAGTAAATGGAAGTATACTGTTATAAGGTTCTCATATGCAATGTGTTATAAGTTCATGATAGATCATAATACATTAAAGATAAACATTATAAACTACAGAGTAACCACTAAAGAAAAAGTAGTATAGGTGGAAAGCTAACAGAGGAAAAAATTCTTGATTAATATCAAAGAAGGCAAGACAAAAAAATGAACAATAAGAAGAAATGAAACAGAAATACAACAAGATAATAAACTTAAATCCAACCATATCAAAATAATATATTAAATGTAAATGAATTAAACACTTCATTTAAAAGGCAGGGATTGCCAGACTGGATAAAGGAATGAGAACCAACTATATGTATGCACTTTAAGAATGAAAACACATACTGATTAAAAGAGAAGGATGAAAAGAGATATACCATGCACACACTAATCCTAAGAAAGCTGTAGTGGTTATATTAATATCAGATAAAGTAGATCTCAAACAATGGGTATTACCAGATATAAAGAAAGACATTATACAATTTCAAAAGGGTCAATTCATCATGACATAATGATCCCAAGTGAGTGCACCTAAAAACAAGTTTCAAAATACGTTAATTTAAAAAAATGACAAAACTAAAGGGAGAAACAGCATATCTACAATTAAAGTTATAGGTTTTAACTCTTCTCTCTCAGTATTTGATCAAACAAGCATATATATTTTTTAAGCCTGAAAAGGTATAGTGAGCAATATTATCAATCAATGTAATGATGCTCCAATCACAGAATACGCTTTCCAACTCATTCTATAAAGCCAGCATTACTCTGATACCTAAACGAGACGAGAACATTATATGAAAAATACCCTGCTGGTTGGAATGTAAAATGGCATAATCGTTTTGAAAAACAATATGGTTGTTTCTTAAAAGTTAGACACACACCTACTATATGATCCAGCCATTTCACTCCCAGGTATTTACTCAAGAGAAACTAAAGCATTTGTTCATACAAAAGATGTGTACAGAAATGTTTGCGGCACCTTTATTGGTATTAGATCCAAACTGGAACAAGCCAAATGTCCATCCATAAGTGAATAAAAAAAAAATTGTGGTATCTATACAGTAGGTCCTTGAGTAACATAATTTTATTCAATGTCATTTCATTATAACATTGATGAGATGCTGTAGGAACTTAACTCTTGTTGCATCAATTAGCCTATGGTAAAGCTGGTTTTGTTATATGTTATTTCACTTCAAGTTACAGAATCTGTTGATGACTTAAAGTGAGGACTTACTGTATCTAGACAATGGAATACTACTACCCATCAATTAAAAGGAATGAAGTACTGATACATGCAAACATGATGAATCTTAAAACAATTATGATGAGTGAAAGAAGCCAGATATCCCGAAGCCAGATATCCCGATACTCACAATAAAAGAATACATAGTGTAAGATTCCATATATGTAATATTCTAGAAAATGCAAACGAATCTATAGTGATAGGAAGCAGATTGGTGCCTGTGAATGGGAAAGTGTAAGCAAGGAATTATGAAAGGGCACAAGGAAACTTTTGGGAATGACAGATATGTTCAAAATCTTGATTGAAATGATGGTTTCATGGGTGCACACATAAGTCAAAACTTACCAACTTGTACACTTTAAATACAGGCACTTTATTATATAACAATATACCTCAATAAAGGTGTTTAAAAAACTTCACCAGAAATATTTATTTTCTCATTTATGAACATCATGAATAAACAACTAATTAAATATGGAGCACTCTGCTAATCCTAGGACTGTAGTTCTCTTGCTCCTGGGCGGTTGGTTTTGGAAGCGATACTAAAATCCAGGTAAAATTCTGGGTAATTTTAGATGGAAGTGATCAGAAAAGATGTTCTTTCTTTCTTTTTTATCCTCACTCGAGGACATTTTTGCATTTATCTTCAGATAGAACATGAGGGAGAGAGGGAGGAAGGAGAGAGAGAAAGAAACATTGATGTGAAAGAGACTGGCTGCCACCCACACAACCCCAACCAGGGCTGGGGACAAACTGCAACCGAGGTACATGCCCATAGCAGGAACTGAACCCAGGACTCTCTGGTCTGTGGGCCGACGCTCTAACCGCTGAGCCAAACCGGCCCGGACAGAAAACGTGTTCTTGAAAGCAATTTAACTCTACAAACTACCCTAGGTCTTAAAGTCATTTAGATACCTACTCAAGAAAAAGAAGCGTCAAAGAAAGAAGTCATTCTTCTAGCAAAAAAAGAAATATCCTGACATTGTAACCTTCTTCAGTTCATTTCACAGTTTGACTTTCTGATAGTCTTAATGTATTTTATTTACTTATTTTCCTTTATCAATTTTTAGAGAGAGAGGAAGTGAGAAGGAGAGAGAGACAGAAACATCAATGATAGAGAATATTGATTGGCCGCCTCCTGCATGCCCCACACTGGAGATCGGGCCCACAACCTGGGCATGTGCTCTGACCGGGAATCAAACCGGTGACCTCTTGGTGCATGGGTCGATGCTCAACCACTGAGCCACACTGGCTGGGTGGTGTAGTGTATTTTAATAAGTATAGGCATAGTGACTTATTAAAGAAAACAAAAATCAATCCATGCAATTCACATTATCACAATAAAAGATAAGAATCATAGGAGCATCTCAATGGATGTAGGAAAAAATATGTAAAACCAATTTATTTATAATAAAAACTTTCAGTAAACTAGGAATAGAAGGTAACTTCCTCAACTGAAAAAGGGTATCTATGAAAACCTACTTCACCTAACACAATACTTAAGGATGATAATATTTAATGATAAAAACTGAACAAGGCAGAGGAATTCACTCATTTCATCTGTTCAACACTATCTACTGGAGGGTCCTAATCAGTACAGTAAGAAAGAAAAAATAAGAATAAAAATACAGATTGGAAAAAACAAAGCTATCTTTATTAGTTGATGACATCAGTATGTACAAGGAAAATCCTAAGAATCTACAAAAAAACCCCCCACCTATTAGAACTAATAGGTGAATTTAGCAAAGTTGTAGATTACAAATTCAACATTCAAAAACCAGTTGTGTTTATATGTACTACCAACAATGACTGGAAAATAAAAAATCACAGTAATATCAAAGAACATAAAATACTTAGAAGTGATATAATGAAATATATGCAAGACTTCTACACTGAAAAGTATGAACTACTACTAATAGAAATAGTTAGGGAGAGATACCATGTTCATGGATCAGAAGACCCAATATTATTGTCTATTCTTCCTGAATTGGTCTACTGACTCAGCGCAACCCTAAACAAAATCCCAGTTAGATATTTTATAGAAAATGGCAAGAATAACATTTATAAGGAAAATCAAAGTTCCTGGAATAGACAAATATTCTTTAAAAAAGGATAACCCTGAAAAATGGAGTACCTGATTTAAGACTTACTATAAAACTCCAGTAAATAAGACCATAGACAAATAAATCAATGGAACAGAAATAAATGCACTTATACATTCAATGCAATGTAATGGGAAAAAGACAATCTAGTCAACAAATAGTGTTGGAACGTTTGACTTCTAAAAGATCATAAAGGAGAGTATCTTCACCATCTTGAGGTAGGCAAGAATATTCTGGGTAGGACCCAGAAAGTACCAACCATAAAAACAACTGCTCATCAAAGTGAGATACTGTATGAAAATCAACAGGCAGGCTGAAGACTGGAAGAAAATATTTACAATATGTGTCTGATCAAGGACCTGGATCTAGAATACATAAAGAACTACTAAAAATAATAAAAAGACAAGCAACCCAACCAAAAAATGGGCAAAAGAGTTAAAAAGTGAAATATACAAATGGCCAATAAACTAATGAAAGTACTCAACATCATTAGCCATCAGGAAAATACAATTTAACATGAGAATATCACTCCCCAGAATAACTAGAATTAAACAGCCCATTGTCACCAAATGTTGGCAAGAACATGGAATCCGTGATTGGCGGGAGGGAGGTAAGATGCTATAGTCATTTTGGAAAAATGGTTTGTCAGTTCTTAAAAGTTAAACATACTCTCCCCTATGACCTAGCAATTCTATTCCTTGGTATTTATCCAAGAGAAATGAACCCATATGTCCACAAAAAGCCTCATGTGAGCATTTTCAGAACAGCTTTATTCATAACAGCCTAAAACTGGAAATAACTCAAAGTAATAAGCAAATGGCCAAACTGGTAGTTTTTCACATGATGAAATATTGCTCAGTAGTCAAAAGAATGAACAATTGATATATATATAACCACACGTATGAAGCTTAGCAATATTTTGCTGCGCGAAAGCAGACAGACACAAAACAGTACATATTATTGACTCCATTCGTAAAAACTTCTGAAGTCAGCTAGGTCCCTCTGGATATTCTCACCAGACCCAGGGTCTCTCAAGGCCTGGCCCTGGGTACCACCCAAAGCTGTCCAGTCCAGGCCCTAATTCCACACAGAATCCACGGGCACACAAATGTCTAGATCCAAAGGCCACTGGAGAGGCTACTGGTCAACCTTGGAGACTCAGTCCTCTATTGGATCTAGCCTAAATCTCTCATGCTGTATTTTAAACACAGCTGATCCTAGAGTCTTCAGACTTCAGTGAGTAACAGAGAAGAATGATTTACTCAACAGATGAAGAAAGATAAAGAGTCTATAACAAACAGAAGAAAACGAGAAACAGTAGACAGCTCTTCAGGAAAGAAGCACCTAGACATTAGGAAGAAATCAGGGTGCAAGCAATGTACCCCTTCATGCTGTACCATCTGACATGTGACGCAGGATAGCTTCATGGTTAAGGGTATGGGCCTGGAACTCGCCTTCCAAGGTCCAAAGCCCAGCTCTATCGCTTATTAACTCCATAACTGTATTTAACTTGTTCCAGAAATTTGGGAGAAGGGCAGAAGCAGCACTGAAGGCACTCCAAAAGCTGAAACCATGGCTGCAGGTTAGTCTTGTAACTAACACCCAAGTGCATTCTGGGTAGCATCCTCTCCAGGCACGGGGCACAGCAGGGCAGATGTCCACACACAGCAGCCAGTCCTGGCCCATGGAAAGAGGGACCCTCAGAGGGTCCAGGCCATGAAGCTCAAGCCCAGTCACAGCCCTAATGACTCAGCAACAGCACCATTAGTGGGTCAAATGGATGGGTCATACCCACCAAGCGGAAACTGTCCACTCCACCCTCCCAGCCCGCCCGAGGACCTGAACGTGTGGTGGGAAATGGATGACCCATACATCCCTAGCCTCAGTGGCAGGATGGGTTCTTCTAGGTGGGCACCAGGGATACCTGCCTGAGGGTGTAGAGATGCCTAGAATCCAGACCCCTGGGCTGGAAAGACCTCAAGAGCTCCCACAGATGGGAAACCGGGGCCCAGAGAAGGGAAGGGACAGGCACAAGGTCAGAGGCTGATCAGGACAAGAATCCTAGCCCAGTTATGGGCCTCAGGATGGAAACTCTTGCCCATGGGAGACCATCAGCCTCTGCTGCTCTGTCCAGCAGGGAGGACTTCCTGGGGAAGCTGCCTACACCATCCTCTAAGTTCTGGACACCTTCCTGCCCACCTGAATACCCTTGGGGAGCAACCTGCCTGTGCTGCTGTCTTCAGGTCTTCAGAGGGGTCTTGGGCCTCCCAGACTGTAGACAGCTTAAACCCCTGCTGACCATGCATAACCCCTCCCTGTCTCTGGACCTAAGTCTTCCCATCCAGAGACTGGAGTGGGGTCCACATAGCTCTGCCCCGAGAAACAAGCAGGGTGCTCCTACATCCACTCCTAAACATCCCGCGCTACAAAGGTGGTGGAGCTCCGCCCCGTTAGGATTCTGGTTGAGGACTGAAGCCTTCCAAGCTCATATACTTGGGATGGAAGGGTGACGGAGCCTGCTCCAACATCCAGAAGCAGAGCTGGGAAATCAGCTGCATCAGGAGATGGAAGGCTGCTATGTCCCTGTGGGAAGGGCACTTAGAACCTTTTCCCTTCTGGGTCAAGAGAGGAGGGAGAGATTGGGGAGCCAGAGACAGGACAGGGCCTGCCCAAGGTCATATTCAAGCCTGTACTTCCCTGGGATTAACACCCAGGGCTCTGAGTCCTGGCTTAGCACCCCTAGCTCCTTGCCCTTCCCACCACCAAGGACAAAGAGGGAGCTGTCCTGTCTGCTTGGCCATCCGTAGCCTGGATTAGGCTCTGCATGCGTTCAGACTGGCCTGCATCACACAGTGCTGGCTTTGGGGGTGAGAACTCAGGAACATGATTTGGAGGTGCTTGGAGGTGAGGACAGGGCCACAGGACTTGGATAAATGGTGTCCACCCTCTGAATCCATCAAGGGAGGACTCAGGCTTTCCTGGCTGAAGGGTGAGGCTTTCCCAGCTACTGCAGTAAGGTGGCCCCAGGTCACACCTGGACACCGGCCCATACCAAGCTCACCTTTACTTTCACCCCCACCTAGCAATGCTCCCACAACAACAAAGAGTACTCACTGATGGGGGCATGTAAGGCCACGTGCTCCTGGTAGGGTGTATAGTACTTGTACTGCTTCCCGCAGAATTCACAGGTGTAGTTGCCGGTTTCTGTCCAAGAAGGAGATAGAAGTGTGGGAACAGGCACCTGGCTCCCATCCGGAAGCAGTAGCGTGCTCCCGCCCCCCAAACAACTCCTCATTCTGGGACAACAGACTAGAATCAGGAGCCCACTTGAGTAGACTACTAACTGAGTTTAAATCCCAGCTCTGCCATTTGGAGCTGTGTGACCTTGGGCAAATCTCTTAACCTCTCTGTGCCTCAGTTTTCCTATCTGTAAAATGGGGGTAATAATAGGATCACCTTATAGGATTGCTGTGAGGATTAAATTTATATGTCAAGTGCTTAGAACAGTACCTGGCACACGCTGTTCTCCTTCATTGCTCCACCCCCAGGCCCCGGTGCTCAGGAAATGTGTGGCGACCCAAGCTGCCTTCCAGGGCCAACCTCTCTATCAGCCCCTTTGCAAGCCTTGCCCTGTGCAATGGCCACACTTGGGTCCCCTCATCTCCAGGACCTTCCCCTGCCCCCAAGCACCCCACACCCCCCCGGCAGAAGAGGTCACTTCTTCCTCTCAGGTCCCACCAAACTTTATTTTTACCTCTCTTTTGGGTCTGCCTAACTTCTTTCTTCTTAAAAATTTCTGATGTAATATTGTTCACTGGGGGAAAATTATAAAATATTAATACAAAATTTTTGGAAAAGTAAAGAGATATTCAATCATCTGTAATCCCCAAACAAAGAGTAGCAGCTACCCCTTGGGTAGAACGTGCACCTTGCAACTTGCCCCAGACCCCACCCCTCACTCCCCTTACACTGACATCATCTGTCTGGCTCCTGAAGGCCCTGAATTAGCAGCCCTGATCTATATTCCCTTTGTAACCTGCTGCATTCGATCGACAATACTTAGTGGATCAATCAATAAACTTCGATTTCTACTGCATTTATCGGCTGCAGTCCCCACTGGACTTTAGAATTTGCTGCACTGGTCTCCTACACCAGGGGATGTTCAGATTGCTTCCAAAAATATTCATATATATATAAAATATGCACATCCTTATACAAATTTTTGCACGTGTGCTCATTATTTTTGCATATCATTGCAAAATAAAATTGTGCATAATCTTTGCATATTATTTCCACAGGATAAATTAAGGGTATGCATTTTCAATGCGTTTGATAGCCATAGCACCAACTATCTGTCAAAAGGTTGGGCCAATTTTTGTCTCAATCAGAAAGATGTGAAAATGACTGTTTCCACACACGGTAGTGAGCACTAAGTGTTATTATCTTCTTAAATTGTGACTGACATAATGCACTGCTGATTTTATTTTCCAGCTCTTTGAGTTGCAAGGAAATGGACTCTTTTTCATGTTTAATTGCAGTTTTTCTTTCGCGACTTTTCTGTGTTTACCACCAATGTTTCTATAGGATTACTTACCTTTTTTTAAATCGCTAAGAACTCTGTAGATTAGGACACCAGCATTTTGTTCTATATGCTAGTTACAAGTATTTTTGCTCAACTTGGCTTCTTTAATTCTGTTTATGGTTTTTCTCTCTCAATATAGAAGCTTTAAAATTTGTAAATAATTTTTGTAGCTGATTCATGAACACTGGAAAAGACCTCTTTGCTATTTCTAGGCTTCAAAGTTGTTATGTCAGCTGTATTAATTATCCCCCTACATAAACTTATTTGTCTACTTGCTCTGTCAAAGATTAAACGTAATAAACCCTTCCATTTATTTCATTGATATCAATGTATTTCTAAGTGTATTTTGTATATTTAGATACAATGTTGTCTGATGCACGTAGGCTCAGGAGATCAAACCTTCACTGTGAACAGTGCCTTTTATTTAGATTACCCTGCTTCCTAGTGCCGCGCTTTTCAAAATGAGGTTCCTGGGCCAGCAGCATCAGCATCAGCATCCCCTGAGAGTCGGGCGCAAATGCGAATTCTCAGGACTTAACCAACACAATGAAAGAAAATTCCAGGGATGGGATCCAGCAACCTGTTAGACCCCTAGAAACTTCCAATGCTTGGGAAAGTTTAAGAACCACTGCTCTATCTAATTATACAATGTTATCAGTTCGCCTGGCATTAATGTTACTAATTCTTGGTAATTATTTTGTCAGATTCTCCTTTCCACTTGTTTGCTTGTACCTAAAGACATTTCCCTGTCCTTTCATTCAGCAAACGGGCATTATGCTAAATGCTGGCACAAAACGTTGAGCAAAAAGAGTCATGGTTCCTGCCTTCAAGGAACTTCCAGTCTGGAAAATCAAGTAATCATACATATTGAAAACTGCAACCATGGTCGATGCTCTTAAAGGAGACATTTACAGTGCTACAGAAATTCTCACAGGGAATTCAGTTTAGTTAAGGAAGCAGCGAAGAGTTTCCTGAGAGAGAAAAGATAATGAATTAACTAGGCATGTCTCTAATAAGCCATTAACAATTGGATTACTTTAAATTAACCTGAGAATCTCTGTCTTCTAATAAAGGAGATCATGCCATTTGCTTTTATGGCTGTATTTGACTTGGTTTAACTTGTTTCAGGATTCTCCTTTCTCCTTACGCTCCACCCTTCTGGTTTGTTCTCTCCAATTTTTGGTTGTTTGATGCACGAGCTCTTTTCTTTGCCTTTCCATTATTATCCTCTGATATTCAATTATTTTCCAACAGTCTCCACTGTTTTAGACAGTATATCAAATCTACTTCTCTAAATGTTATAATCAAGCAGGAAATGGTATTTTCGTGCCTATTACCATTGAGAAAGGGAGTTGAACTCAGTGCTTCTCAAACTTGAGCACGTATCAGAATCACCTAGAGAGACTGTTACCCTCAGACTGCTGGGCCCCACCCCAGAGGCTGATTCCGCAGGTCTGACGTGGGACCTGCGGAGCTTCTGGGGGCTGCTGCTGCTGCTCCAGGGACCACACTGTGAGGGGGCAGGTTTACCCACCTGGACTGCATCCCTCCTGTTCCTTCCTTCTTGTGTTTTTAACTCATTTTTGATACTTTTTGCATTCATTTTTTACAACCAGAGTTGCAATATTTTAAGCTTACGTCTAGTTTGCATGGCTCTAGCACTCACAAGTGCTCTGAACTTGAGTTACGTCCTCATAATTGGACCCTTACCCGCTCTACCACCCAGTTCCTCAGAGCACAACTTCACATCCTTCCTTGAAGAGGGGTACACAGGAGATGTAGTATGTTTTTGAGACCTGGCATTTTTCTTAACACATAAATCACAATTTGTCTAGATATGAAATTCTTAGATTACAACCTTTTTCCTTCAAAACGATTTCATTATCTTTGGCATTTAAATATTGCAGAAAAGACGGAGGCATGTCCATTTTGCATTCATTTGTACGTAACTTGCTTTTTTACTTCTAGATGACCGTGTGACTTTTTTCCTTTATGCTTATAGTTTGGAGAATTCACTAAGATCTATTTAGTTAGGGGGTCTCTTTATACTGACTCTACCTGACATCTGATGATCCCTTAAACCTGCTTTCACAGGTCTTCCTTCAGCTGAGCCAAATTTCTCTTCTATTATATCTCTGAAGTGTTGCTTCTGTTCCGCTGGTACACAATACCATCAATTATCTGGTTCCCCATCTCCAAATTTATCATGTTTTCCTCTTATTATCTGTTCAGATCTGTCCTTCACATCAACTCCATTTCTGTAGATCACCTCTGCTCTCTACTACATACAAGGGAAGTCTCCGTCCTGTCCTTGTATTTTCAGCTTCTCTGCAGCCTCCCCTCATCGCATAGCTCTCTGTGCCTTTTCATCTTACCCCATTGCTTTCTCACCATGCAAGTCCAGGCTCCTCTTTCACGGGGTTCAGGCTACAGACGGAACTGTGTCCCCCACAAATTCAGATACCCATGCCTTACCTCCCAACGTGAAGCCATTTTGCCAAAAGTGGTCTCAACAGAACCCAACCATACTGGCACCCTGACCTCAGACTACCAGCCACCAGAACTGAGAAAAAATAAATGTCTGTTGTGTAAGCCACCCACTGGTAAAGCAGCCCAAGTGGCCCAAGACAGGCCATGTTTCCTTATAATCAAGGGTGGCTGTCCAACAGGGTTTTCGTCACGATTTTGTGGTAGATCATTTTCAGAGGTATGCTCCTCCCCTGAGTCTCCTAAATCCTTTTTCTTATGATGTGGAATTTCATAGCTCCCACAGTTTATGTATTTATTTTTCAGGTCAGTCTTCCTTATCCACATATAAAAATCAAGGAACCTGTAAGTGAATCCAGACTTACTCTGCTTCAGTAGACACTAATAAACTGCCCTGAACTGTCTCATTATCATGGTAGACCATTAGCTTCGTAATTATTCTCTGATCTGCAGCTGGAGATCAAGCTGACACAGAACTCCTTGGACCAGCTCCATCTTCTAGCAGCATCCCTCTGCTCTGCTACAGCTTTGGCGTCCTCCTCAAGTACCTAAACCTCTAATCTGCACAGCTGATGTGGATGCAGAAGGCACACGTCCCAGCATGCCCTGCTCCCAGGTTTCTCCCTCTTCCCCGACCTACAATTGCTACTTGCGGCAACTAGTTCGTCCAGTGTACCGTGCGGCTACCAGCTCCCCTTAGTCCATGCCTCATCAGTTTTAGGGTTCTGTGGCACTGGCCCAAGCAGCAGCATTCTCTTCTCACAAGGCGGCTCCCGAGTGGTAACAAGGGACAGCCGCACACTGCTCCAGCGACCTCCTGCCCTTGGCATCAAGCTGGGAGCGCGGAGGAAGCCAAACTCAGTTCCGTTTTCTCAATGCAATTCCCTACCCGCTGTCATCTGTGATCATTCCTCCCAGGTCCTAGCACGGGGGGTCTGGAAGGCTTAGTTACTCAGAGACAGAACAGGCCTCACCCTGCTCTTTGCCTGTCCGGGTAATAGGTACCACTTGTTAATGCTTCCCTGGAAGCGTGAGGACTCGTTCCTTTAGAAGTGTCATCTCAGCGCATCTCCATGGCAATCCTGAGAGGTGAGTTTTGTTGTCATCACTCCATCTCAGAATTAAGGAAAGGCGGACCAGAGAGATCACAGTACTTGCAGGAGGTCACAGGGCGATGGAGTGCCCGCTGGGATTCCTGTTTGGGGCGGGGCTCTCACTCTCAGCCATCCCTCGGCAGCCCTGCTCACTTGTGACGCCCTGAACACAAGCCAGGCGCTGGCTAGACACCTGACGTGTTCACCCTGCGAACAGATCGACGTTCTTGTCCCAACTGACCGATGTGTCCAGGAGACTCAGAGGGGCGAGTAGCTAGCAAGTGGGCAATATCAGCATCCAAACCGGGGCCTGTTGGATTCCAAAGTCAACTTTCATAATTACGACCCTAGAGAGAGAGGGAAGGGCGGTGCTATGCTGACACTCCCTGTCCTGTACCTGGCCTGGAACATGTCTGATTCACATCTGGACTTCCCACCATCTGCCTTCCAGCAGTGTTTATGCTGAGGATTTTGTCTTTTTTTTTTTTTTTTTTTTTTATCTCCAAGGTTATTTTTTAAAATATTTTTTTATTATTTAGAGAGAGGAAGAGAGAAAGAGATAGAAACATCGATGTGAGAGAGAGACATCGATCGGCTGCCTCCTGCAAGCCCCGCCCTGGGGATCTAGCCTGCAACCTGGGCATGTGTCCTGACTGGGAATTGAACTGGGACCTGTCAGTCCATGGGGTGATGCTCAATCCTCTGAGCCACACTGGCCAGGCTCTTCAAGATTATTTAAATGTTACTGTTTATTGAGTGTTTACTATGCATATGACAAGCACTGTGCTAACCTTTACAGATATTATCACATCTGCAGTTAACTGAGAGTTTTAAAGTAAAAAGAGTCCTGGCTGGTGTGGCTCAGTGGTTGAGTGCTGGCCTGTGCAGTAAAGGTTGCCTGTTCGATTTCCAGTCAGGGCACATGCCCAAGTTGCAGGCTTGATCTGCTGGGGGTCGTGCAGGAGGCAGCCGACTGACGTTTCCCTCTTACATCGATGTTTCTCTCTCTCTCTAAAAATCAATACAAAATTATTTTTAAAAAAAGAGAGAGTACAAAGACAGCAGAGAATATCCCCTAAGAGGAAGGAGAAAGGAAAGGCATGCAGGCACGTGGCCAATGCCTTCCAAGGACCTGGCACCACCCCCACCCCCACCTAGGACTATCTCAGGTGTCACCGTGGGAGCCCCCTTGGTTTCCCTTCCCTCGAATTTCCACTTCTTTTGTCCACGTTGGGAGGCCAGTCAATAAAGGTCCTCTTTGCTGTGTATTAAGACAGTCACAGGAAGGAACTAAGAGCCGAATAAGTGCCCTGGCCAGTGTGCTCAGTGGCTAGAGCACCAGCCCATGCACCAAAGGGTCATGGGTTTGATTCCCAGTCAAGGGCACATACCCAGGTTGCAGGTTCAATCCCCGGACTCAGTGGAGTGCATGTGGGAGGCAACCAATTGATGTGTCTCTTTCACATCAATGCTTCTCTCTCTCTCTCTCTTCTACTTCCTCCCACTCTCTAAAAATCAATGGAATGGTTCCTTGGGTGGAGAGAGAGAGAGAGAGAGAGAGAGAGAGAGAGAAGCACACATGTAAATTTCTGAAGGGCTGGATGAGTCTCACTTGTGAGACACCACCGCCATCACCAATCCATTCTCGAAGCATCCAGAATGGTCTTCCTAAAAAGCAAATGGGATTAAGTCCCTTCCCCATTTAGGGAACATTCTGGGCTCAGCCCATTCTCCTCAGAGCTAAGTCTACATAACTTTGTCCGGCATCCAAGGCTCTCTAAACAAAAAATTCAGAGCGGACTTTTCTTTCAATTCCCAGAAAAGTGCTGCTCTCCTGCCTTCGAGTGGGATGCAGGGGTTCACTCCCACCCTGGTCCCCACCCGAAGCCTCCTGGACTCCCAAGGCTGGGCAGGCACCCCTGGCACCCGCAGTCCATGCTTCTGGGTGTTCTGTGACCATTCCTCGCTGACCCACGGGCCCTCCCTGTGCGCACTACCCAAAGGGAGGGCCTCAGCTGTCCTGTTCGTTGCTGCATCCCCACAACTCTCAATCCAGGGGTGCTGCAAACCGAGCCACACGTGAGGCTCCTGCCTTCGGGGGTTCACTGGGACAAGGACAGAATGTCTCCACATGGCTCCCCTGGACAGCTCCATGGGCTGACAAACCCCGTCAGATGACACTAACGACTTATTTTCCGAGCACCTATTATGTACCAGGCACTGTGCTAATGAATAGGTAGGTGGTGATATCCATGATCGCATTTAATCCCCCAACAAACCTGTGGGGAAATGTCATCCTCATGCCAAGGTGAGGAGCCGAGGCTCAGGACGGCTAACAGACTGCCAGGGCACCGAGCTTGGGCTGCCTCCACGGCCCTGACTTTGACCCTGTGCTGTCCAGCTGCTTCTCAATAGCTAAATCCTAAAACGGACTGGCCCCTTCGACAGGTGGGTAAAATGAGGTACAAGAAGGCCAGTGGCTCACCAGATGAGCAATGCCACCCTCTTCCAGCGGCAGGACTCGCCTTGCCCCCCTCAGCCAGCCCCCAGGTCCCCCACCCAGCCCCTGCCCCCAAGGAGAGGCCCGCATACTTGGCCCGATTTTCTGGAATGGTTCCGGGGGTTCCTCCTTCACCTCCTCAGTGGCCACGACGCCTTGGTCGAAGGGGTCTGTGGGAGAACACATGGCCCTTAGCACCCTGGTAACCAGGCCTCAGGAGCCCAGCTGGGGACCAGGGAGGTGGCCAGTCACCAGGTACTTACCTGCCCGATTCTCGGGGGCCCCTTCCACACTAAACACTGCGCCCGGGCAGGAGGCAGCAGCCGCAGAAGGAAAGAAGCAAACAGGAGCCCTGTTAGTCCCCGCCCACAGCTGCCGCTGCCCGCCGCTCCCGCCCGGCCAGGTGAGCCTGCCTTTGCGGCCTAGGGGAGCTGCCTGGCTGGCGTGGGTGCCCCAGAACCCCAGGGGCCAGGACAGTCCCAACCCGGGCACCGCCTGTGTCTCCACGCCTCTTCCTCCCATGGCAGGGCCCACCCCCGTGTCTGGGTCACCAGCACCCATCTGAGGGGCCAGGGCAGGAGAAGAGACAGAGAGATGGAGAGGAGAGAGGAAAAGGAGGCAAGAAGGATGAGCTGGTAGGCAGCAATCCTGGTTGTTACAGCTGGAGACAGGCGGGGGGGGGGGGGGGGGGTGCAGCTACAGAGGGAGCCCCAAGATCCTTCCCAGGCCCAAGACCCTGTTTCTAGTATTCTTCAGTTCCCAAAAACAAATTACCTAGATTTATTGTTGTAATTTCTAACTATAATCAAAGACACTAAAATACCATCATTCATTTTTAAAAATTGGTTTAATTTCACCAGAGCATGTGAATACTCAATATGAAATCATATAATGGATTGACAAAATTGCAAGTATTCGACTGATTTTGACCTACAAACCCAGCAATTTCACTTGGGTTACCCTAGTCAGCAGAATATATGAAGTATGATGGGGACCTTTTCTCCCCCAGGATCCACAGGGGCTGGTCATTTCCCTCACGGTCTGGCTGCTGCATGACCTTCTCCTGGGTAGGAAGCAGGGGGCTGAAGGTAAGGGGCCAGGTAAGCGCCCTGGGGCGGGCGGTTCCTTGGGACTTGCTCTGCAGGAGAGAGGGGCCTGACTCACCATCCACTGCGTGCAAGTCCCGGTGCTCTTGGAAACAGCTGTAGTACTTGTACTTCTTCCCACAGATGTCACACGTGTACCTGAAATTGTCTGTGGGGGATGCAAACAACGCGTGGTCACCAGGGCTTCAGTCATATGGGGTGGGGTTTTGGGGGCCAGCTCATCTGCCTCAGGAACCAAAGACGGGACTAGCTCAGAATGGCCCCAACTGGTGACTCCATGAAGAATCAGTTCTGGGTGGTTCAGGGTCCTCTGCACGGGGAGACCAGGAAGCCCTGACATGACTTTCAGACCAACCCCCAAGCCAACCTTACGTGAGCTGAGCTCCTGTGGGCTGGATCATAACTGGGCCCACCTCCCTCTGTACCCACTAGCCCTCACAACTGAAGGTTACTACATCCTCACAGGGAAACTGAGGCTGAGAGGGATCCATCCCAGCCCCACAGCTAAGCGTGCCTGTGGTAGGCAGCTTCAGAGATGGTTCCCAGGGACCCTGGCCTCCTGGTGTTCACGTCCTGTGTTTCCTTTCCGTCGAGTCTGGGCAGGGCCCAGGGACTTGCTTCTCATGAAGAGAATGCAGCAAAGTGATGGGATGTCACTTCTGTGATTAGGTTACACAAGGTGACTTGAGTCTGGCTCACACCATCTCGCTCTCACTAGCTGGCACGCTGTAAGCTGTCCCGTGGAGGCCAGGTGGCAGCCGGGTGAACAGCCAATAGGGAACTGAGGCCCTCAGTCCAAGAGCTTGGGAAGGCGGGTCCTGTTGACCACCACACAGTGAGTGTGGCAGCAGCTGCTGCCTGGCTGAGACCTGAGATGAGACCAGGACCCTGTGCGACACCTTGAGTGCAGCCTTACAAAAGCCCCAGAGCCAGAGGACCCAGTGAAGCCACCCCCAGATTATGACCACAGAAACCGTGCGATCATCAGGCTTGTTGCTTTGCTGTTAAGTTTTGGGGAAATGTGTTATACAGCAATTGACAACATATACAGGGCTGAGTTTGGATAATCCCGAGGTCTAGCCACAGTCAGAGGCTGGACTCACACACAATGCTGTCCTCACCGCACAGGCAACACTGTCTCACGTGGGATCTAGCACCGACCTTGTGTGCACATCCCTCGGGCTGATCCAGGGATGGCCCATCCCCCGCATCCTTCTGGGATGCCCAGCACAGGGAGGCCGGGCAGCTTGCTCAGGCTGCACAGTGGGGTGGGAAAGAGCCAGGATTCAAATATCGACTTAATTCTGATGAGATCCCTCTACCCCAAGGACAAGATGCCAGGCAATTCTCGGAGAGGGTTTCTGGCCCTTAGGTAGCGGAACTTTGGGACACGGATGACATTGGCCATCTCCCCGCCTCTTCCACTACCCCTGCAGTCTCAGAAAGAGCCTTGGCAGATGCCAGGGCCACAGACTAACGGGTCCCTGAGTGAGGTGTGCACACAACCCTGGCACATGCAGACATTCTGAGGGTGTGGGGACCAAGCAGGGTCCAGGCACGCCACCCTCCTACCAGGCTCCACCATCGTGCCTGAACCAGCAACAGACAGCCTGGTCCTGCCCTACCTCATCCCGACTGCCCACCTGTGCCGACCCCACCTCGGGATTCAGCGTCCCCTCTTTCCCCCTAATTTGAGGGAAGGGGAGAGTAGTAGATGAGCCGATTCCTGGGGCCTCTCCCAGGCTGGTGGTTCCAGGATCCCAAGCCTGGCTTGGCCTTCCATCCTGTTCCATGGCCAGGGATCCAGCTTAGACAACCACCTCCCCCATCAGGACCCTAATCCTCTCTCGATCCTGGACACCTGAGGAACAGAGGTGGCAAAGTCAAGGCCACCTAGGGTCTGCTGGTTCCAGGGGGACCCTGTCCCTGAAATTCCTCTCCCACACTAGCCAGTCCTGGTCACCCTCTGCAGCGCCTGCCCCACATGCCTTGTCTGCCCACACAGCCTCTCCTACCAGCGGGGCCACGTCCACCCCTCCAATAAAACAAACCCCCAGGTCCCGCCACAGAGAAGCGCCCCCTTCCACCACGCTCTGTCGAATCCCACACCACTACTTCTCACAGGGAACACATCCTCAGACCCACTTCAGGCAGGATTGGATTTGCACAAGAGTTATCCTCAAAGGAAGAAAAGCAAAATGATTTTCTATCAGTGACACCACACTTTCAGAACTCCCAGAGAGTTCCGTGTCTCCGGAAACACCACGCCAAATCCATCCCAGGAGGCAGGCTCTGGTCTGGCTGCCCAAGCTCCAACCCCACTCCACAGCTTACAAGGGCAACTAACTCCAGACACACCCCCTAACCTCTGCCCTACTGTTTTCTTATCTGTGAAATGGGAACAATAGCTCCTTCATCTCCTAGAGTTGTAATAAAAAATAAACAAGCACAACGCTAACACACAATAAATACTTGGTAGATGCTACCTAATATTATCGTTGTGCAAAGAGAATCTGTGTGACAGTAGCAAGAGAACTGGATCTTTTTTTTTTTTTTATCCTCACCCGAGGACATTTTTCCATTTTTTGTTCAGGTAGAGTGGGGAAGGAGAGAGAGGAACAGAGAGAGAGAGAGAAACATCGACGTGAAGGGACACATCGAGTGGCTGCCACCCGCACAACCGACCAGGGCCGGGGACAAACTGCAACCGAGGTACGTGCCCTTAGCGGGAACCGAACCCGGGTCTCTCAGGACCGCAGGCCGACGCTCTAACCGCTGAGCCAAACCGGCCAGGGCGAGAACTGGATCTTTTATTGTCTTAGTTGAGAGAGGGGTTAAGTGGGTAGGTAGATGCCTCTATGTATGACTGTACAATTTTTCTAACGAATGGAAGATTCCTGGACTAAAGGCGTGAAACCTGGTCTCTGTGCCTACCTCCACCCCTAACAAGCTGTAGGACCTGTCCCTGGGACTCAGTGTCCTCATCCACAGAATGGGTCGGCTGGACCTGCTATTCTCAACGGGACCTTTTGGCTCCAGGACTCCATAGCCAGGCTCCCGGAACGAGGCTGGCAGACTTTCTGAGCAGGCACTGCTGGCCGGGGTCAGGGCAGGGGTGCAGGACAGGGAATAAAACAAAGCACACTGGTCACGGGGAGAAAGGGAAAAGGGATGGAAGGGCTAAAAATAGCCCCGGCTAGAGTCTTTAACAACCAGCAGGCCTGCGGGAACAACGGAAGCCAGATGGAACACAACGTATCATTGAGGGGCTGCCGGAGAGGCCAGGGGCCCAGAATAGCCGAGGAAGGAAAGATAAACGGGGAAGTTCTTTAAATGGGTGGCTGACCACAGGCGGACCCTGGGAGCAGGAAGAGAAGGGAGCTATTGAGGGAGAAGGAGCCAGGGGCAAGGCTGGGCATGGTGGGCTGGGGGGAGGGGCAGGTCTCCGCCCCCTCCTAGCCGGGGGCCCTCTAGCAGGTGCCAGCCAATCTAAGCCTCGGTTTCTCCTCCAGAAAATGGAGGGGTAGCCTCAGCCCCACCTGCCTGCCGTGTGGGTAAGAATCCAGGAGAGAGTGGATGGAAAAGGGCCTCAGGAGATGAGCTACTAGGACCAGTGCAGTTCAGATCTCGCTTGAGCTCCAGACCCTGGTTTGGATTTTTTTTTTTTGGGGGGGGGGGGGGGGTGTTACGTTTTCATTTTAAGAAACTTTTCTGGCAGTATAACAAAGATGTAGCTAGAACAGAAGTTCACGTCTGAGCTCCTCGGCAGAGATGAGCAGTTGTGAGCAGATGGTGGCCTGCAAAGTCGACACGCTTGCTGTATGGTCCCTACAAAAGTGTGTGCTGGCCCCGATGCAGAGAGTACAGATCCTGAGTGCATAGCCTGTTCGGTTCGCGTACACCCAAAACCCCTGTGCAGCCAGCGCCCAGCGCAAATATCAGAAGCCAGAGGCCCCTTCCTCAAGGTAACCAGGATCCTGACTCTTCCAGCATGCATTTGCGTCCCCCATTTTCGTTTTTTTTTTCTCTTTTAATTTTAGAGAGAGAGGAAGTGAGAGGGGGAGAGAGAGAAACATCGATGAGAGAGAACATCGATTGGCCGCCTCCTGCATGTTCCCCACTGGGGATCAAACCCACAACCTGGGCATGTGTCCTGACCGGGAATCCAACTGGTGACCTCTTGGTGCACGGGTCAACGCACAACCACTGAGCCATACCGGCCGGACGCGTCCCCTGTTTCTGCATTTCCTGTAAGCAGCTCTAGGGAGGGACTCCTAGGCTTCCTGTGCTAATGAGTCCACGGGTGATCCTTGTGCTGTGTGTGGGCCACGTCTCTGCTTCTCACTGCTGGACTGCAGTCCTTCACGTGGACACGCCGTGGCTTACTCATCCCTTCGATGAGCTGGGCCCGCACCCGGGAGTCTCGGTGTGGAGCTGCTACAAATAGTGCTGAGAACACCCCAGTTCAGCCCAGGGAGAGCATGCGCACACACTGCTGCTGGGTGGGACGGTTCCGTCGCAGCCTACACTCATCTGCGGGCTGCTTACCGGGTCACGGGCTTAGATCTGGAGGGAGGGCAAGAGGGCCTGTGGGCAGCAAAGCCGAGCACTGACCCCAGCTGTCAAGGCTCTGCTCGTCCCAGGCTCGGGGATACTGACCCCAGTGACTGGTGTCCGTGGATACTCATGAGATAAATCTCTGAAGCAGGGGTTCCCAGACATTGGCTGTGGAGCCCAAGACCCACGATGGGAGTCAAAAGAACAGAGGACTCGTCTCCTAGACTTCATACGCTGGGACCCTCTAGGAGGTGCCTGGGTGCGTTTGCCAATGAAGGGCCCTGAGAAGTCTATAGGTTCATCTTAGCAGAACTCAAGGTTTCCCTGGGTTACTTGGCCAGAGAATCCTTTACCGACAGAACACCTATTAGCTTCCCTAGAATGAGTGTGACATGGAACACACTTTGGGAAAGGCTGTCCTGCAGTACCGTGTTGCAACTGCCTAAGGACCTTCTGGCCCCAAAGCCTGAACCATAACAAGGTGTCTCCCAGAGGCCCCGTGGGGCCTCCTGGTGGGGGGTGGATAAGAGCGTCTCCTCCTTCCACCCCAGCTCGGTAGCCCCCACCCCCAAAGCCCACAATGAGGGAAAATACTCACTGCCTTGGGAGGCTCCCTCCCCTGAGGTGGCTTCAGTGTCTGTAAGAGAGAGGGACAGAGGGCATAAATGGGAAGGCGAGCCCGCTGGACCGGCGGCAGGGCTGGTGAGTCCACCATAACGTGCCCAGGGACACTCTCTCCAACACAAGGCGCAGGGAACTGAGCCCCTGGGTTCTTCTCCACGCCCCTCTGTCAGTCACGACCCTGACCCAGTGCCTTTCCTCCCTGTCTGCCAGGCTCAGGGAGGGTCAGGTGCCAGCCCTCCTGTCCCCTCAGCCTCCCCACCCCCACTCCAAGGCCGTCATGGGGAGCACACAAGATGACACTGAGCAGCACTGAAGCATTCTGGGAGAAAGCAGGCCTCTGCGGAGCGGGCAGGGGGGACTGGTGGACAAGTCTAGTACCATGTCCTGCTGCCCCTACCCGTGTGCTCTCCCAAGTAAAGGAGGCTATTCCTCTCCTGCTGCAGAGAGAGAGAGAAGACTGGGCTCTGAGGGACTCAGGAGTCACCCACGAGGGGCCCCGGTGGAAAAACAGGCAGAGAGCAGGGAGGCGCGACCCCTGAACTCTGCCCTAGGGACACACCACTCACCTCGGTGTGCACGTACGTGGGTCTGGAAGCAGTTGTAATACTTGTACTTCTTGCCACAGATTCCACACTCATAGGACCCTGGAAAACAGAAAAGAAAGGAACCCCTCAGCGAGCACCCAATAAGCGCAACCCGAGGGCCCGGGACCCGCGATGCCTCCAGGGACTGCTGACTCTGCATTAAGGGGGCAGGGCTCATCCAATGGCCATCTTGTCCCCAGGAAGCAAAAAGGCAGCAGGGACCAGCAGAGACATTGTTGACCTGGAAGTCGGCCTGGGTCTACTTTCAGGTTTGCCTCAACTCTCTGAGTGACCTTGGGCGAGTCATTTGCCATCTCTGGGCCTGTTTCCAAATCAGAGACAAAGAAGGTAGCTTCTTTAGGTAACTCTCATACTTATTCCTCGAGGACAAGGGAGATGAACGTAAAAGGGCTCCCTCACAAGAAGGAATAAATTAAATGTACCCATGTAAGAAAATCATCGCTTGAAGGCATTAGAATAACTTCTAGCTACTTGTCCTTGCTAGGACAGGCATTAAGAGGAGAGGCTTTGAGCCCTGGCCAGTGTGGCTCAGGTAGTTGGGCGTCATCCTGTACACCGTTTTATGGTTCGATTCCCAGCCAGGGCACATGCCCGGGTTGCGGTCTTGATTCCAAGTAGGGGGCGTGCAAGAGGCAGCCAATCAATGTTTCTCTCTCCCTCTCCCTTCCTCTCTCTATAAAAATCAATGGAAAAAAAAAAAAGTGAACAGGCTTCGAATCAGAAGCCTGTCCCTGTTCCTGTTCTGCCACCTACCAGCAGCATGTCCTCGGTAATTCCTTAGACACACTAAGCCTCAGTCAATTCATCTGTAAAATGGGGCTAAAAGTACCTACCTCACAGAGGTGGCCCCAGGAAGTATGCAAACCTACTACAGATGTGCCTGACAAGGAAAAAACCCCGTCATCTGCTGCGGAGCTGTCCTGTTCCCTCAGATGTGCAGACAACATGGTGTCAACACCTGACCCAGCCTTCTGCTGGCCCCTTCTCCCAGGAGCAGACAGACTGAAAAGGCTGGGTTCCCAGACAGATCAAAGGCAGAGGAGCCCACCGTGCAGGCAGAGGGCAAATGCCCTCGGGACGGGGCCAAAGAGAAACCACTGGACCCAGCCTGGCAAGGGTCCCAGGACTGGAGGCCCTACCCATGCCTCCCACAGGCCTGCCACCACCTTGGCCCTGGCCCATCCTTGTTAACAAAATGGCCAGGGAGCCTGCATCAATACAGAGGCCCTGGCCCCACTCCGGGCTGAATGTGGAAGAGCGGGGCTAGGGGCCTAGGAATCTGCCTTTTTAAAAGGGTCCTCAGGGGATTCTGATGTCCTGCAACCCGGTAATGAGAATCACTAGTTTCGATGAAGCCTCAGCTCTACCATTTTCTGGCCGGGCCTCAGCATCCTCACTGGATAATGCAAGGGCACTGATGTGGATGAAGCACGACAGTGTTCCTACCATACTCAGTGAGTGGAAACATCACCAATTCCTACCGGGTGTGCGCTCGAGGCATCAGATTAAGTCAAAAGAGCACTGGGCTTGGAGTCTGTCCGTTCAGCTCCGCCACCCGAGCTGCTTGATCTCAGGCACATGCCTTTTCAAGTCCGTGCCTCAGTTTCCCCACCTGAAACACAGGACTATGGTTCCTACGTCTCATAACTGAGGTCAGGATGAATGAGATACAACGTGCGAGTCAGCTGACACCCTGGGGCACCGTCACCTTACTACTGTGGGCACTCAAGGGAAGGCTGGCATCCTGACACCGGTGCGGAATCTCGCAGTCCGCTGTCTAGTGATTTTATGTGTCTCGTCACAGGGAAGAGTATAAACACGCGGAGGGCAAAGAACAGATTGCCGTTAGCCCCATGACCGGCACACAGCAGGGGCTCAATACAGTCATGGTGTTCTGTTCATGTGTCACCGACTCCACGGCCACACGTACCCCAAGTTGACGTAGTGAGACACACACTGAAGGGACTTCTGGGGATTCTCAGCTCAGACGGCCCCTGTCCCTACTGCCTGACTCCTCACTCTTGGGATCCCCAACTACCTTTCTGTCACTGTCACTCTGAACTAAGTGCCAGGTGCCGCACAGGCCTGGCTCTGACCTCATGCACCGGTGCGGACGCAGAAGCAACTTGCCCACCCCACACAGCCTCCTAGTGGGAGTGGGGCCGGACTCGGCCTTCTCACCCATCAGCTGAGGTCGCCCTCCCCAGCCGGCAGACAGAGGCAATTATCACCCCCATTTTCCAGGTGAGGAAGTGAGGACGAGAGGGGTGACAACTACAGCCAGAGGCTGCCCAATGTCTCGATCCAGAGCCAATGTGTGTGCCCGCCACACACTCAGCCTCTGGGGAAGCACCAAGAAGAGGTGGCGCTTGTGCACGTTAATATTTACCGGGTGCACCCAGGTCTCACTCCTGAGTTCCATCTTCCCGGAAGTCCACGTGTGCTTGGGACAGCTAAGCACCCACTTCTACAATGAGCTTCTACGTCTAGGGTGCAGGTGGCCCAAGGCTGGGGCTACTCAGCTACTGGTTTACGAGAAATTGGGCTCAAAAGCAGCCACCAGGCTCCAGAGCCCTCCTATTACCACCACGGCAGGTCCCCTCTGATGCCAACGGGGCCGTGAGTCCCCTTCCGTCATGCCCCCACGCAGGGCAGTAGAACCCCCGGAGTCCACCCTCAGGAGCCGGGGACAGCTGGCAGGGCACGCCAGCACACGGGAGCAAGCCTGTTCCTCTCCGAATCCTGCTGTCCCTAGCGACGGCAAGAATCCCCAGGCACTGAGCAACAGCCCGTCTGGCGCTTTCCATAGCCTCCTGGCAGAGAACCTGGCTCTTCCTCCTCCAGAGCCCTGGACAGACCAGGCGAGACAGCGGCGGCCAGCGGGCGTCTAGTCTCCGTGGAAGGGGAAGTGCCAAACACCGAGGCTGAGGTCCCTTCAGGACAAGAAACGTGGGCAGCAGCCCTCAGCTCTCTCATCTGCACCCAGCTGCTCCAGAGAAGCTCAGACCGGTCTCAGGACACACAAAATGCAACAGGCAGAAATCCAGAGCAGGTGAAGGGGCAAAGAGAAACGAAGTGGGGGCGGACAGGATGGCCCCTCACAACGGGCAGTCCTCTGTTTAACTCAGAGCATCACAGTGGGCACTGCTTACAGATCAAATGCTGAGGAGCGGCCAGCCCGCTCGGGTCTAGGGCGGGACAGGAGCTGGGCCCAGGGCCTGGCGGGGACAGGGGACCTGGAGAGGTCAGTCGTGCATGAGTGGGTTTCCTGGGGCTCTCTGGGGCTTGGCCTCAGACCAAATGTCCTCTGAATCGGGGTCTTCCAAGTAGAATGCAAATCCCTTAGGGACCTGTGAGCCCAGGCACTTTTAAAATAATCAATTCCCATCATCAACTTCCAAATGTAGTTTTCCTAAAATCAACACACGGAGCATGAGGCAGCGGGCAGGAGCCCCGAGCCCCGAGCCCCCCCGCTGGTTCTCCTCTCCTCCTCACCTCCTCCCACATCACAAACAAGACAATTCTCTCATCCACTTAATCCCACCAGGGGGTCCTCCCCGGGGCGTTACCATCGCAGGGTGCCAAGCAATGGCGTGATCTGAAATATCAGCGTCGGACTGAGCAAGTGGGTGATCTGTCGACTGGCAACAATTCCTCTTGTGAGTCGAGTGTTTTCCAAGTCTCAGCTCTCAACAAAGTTGTCAGTGGGGAGACTATCACAAATACTGTCTGATGAGAAACTCCCATGTCATTTTGGGCAGACAACTCGGAGTTACAGGACTAAGTGACGCTGCTAATACCAAACTCCACCCTTCCCTGGCTCCTTATTTATGGGCTCGAGCTTTCTAAGCACTTACACTTATGAAAACTGAAACATAGGAATTAAGTTAATGCTGAATCCTGTCTCATCTGACATATAAGCAGCATTAATTCACAGAAACATGAGCTAACTGAAAAAGAAATAAAGCCCCAACCGTTTTTATGAAAAGGTGTATTTTCGATAATTTTTCACTTGTACATTTACGACTGCTCTAAATTTGTTTTTGGCAAATTGTATGCTAATAATAACTCAATCTGGCAAAAAAGAATGTTTTAAAATATAGAGCTTTATGATCCCAACAAATTTTTTAGGAATTTCTATTTCAATTTACATACATCTTGTTGTGGGAGATGAGTGTGAAATAGGGATCAATAAAAGACTCTCAAGCATAAAAAATATATTACATTAGGATAAAATCCTGTGAGGGAAGTGGACTGGAAATATGAGTTCAAGGAGAAAAAGGAAAGATGTAGATTTCTGACTGTTAAACATGGGCCTGTTCATATGTTTCCTGAATGGATGATGGCAGATACCGGGCAGCAGTGGGGTTTGGATACATTTAAACGAGTGGTTCACAGTTTCATTTCCAAATGCCACATTGTTTTCTTACACAATCCTCCATAAATTATATCCTTTGTAATTACTTCATCTTTGGATTAAAATGTTAGATGTCAACTCGAACATGTGAAAGAGAATACCGTTTCTCAAAATTCTTTTCGGGGATACTGAACAGAAAAGTGGGAAGCCATAGGTCCTTTAGATTCTCTTCATTCCGGGGGTAACCCCAGACGTGTCAACATCAGAGGCTTCGGCTAACACCACTGGTGTCTGTTTTGCATTTTGGTCCCTCTTTAAAAACGCTTTCATACCTAGTACTTCCCTCCGCTCTCCATGGACCTACTGGCAGATTTTATTGTGCCCACTGATCAGTCAAGGCAGTTTGGCCCAGAGAGGTTAAGGGGCCTGTCCAAGGCCCCACGGCAGGGCAGACACGGAGTCTCTTGGCTTAGAGCCCTGCAGCCTTTTCCATGGGGGAACCTCCAACTGGGATTCCCTTCCCACCTTGGACCTCCAGATGAAGAGTCTTCAGCGGAGACAAGATGCACCTGGAGGCTGGCCAAGCCCCTCCTCTCTGAGTGGCTGCGGCACAGAGCTGAGTGTTGGTTCTGGCAGGCTTGGGCGCTAAGCCCTGCCAACAACCCATTGAAACAGGAAACTA